ACAGCGCTAATGGATATGCTATTGAAGGACTTGCCATGGTCGATCGATAGTGGTTCCAATCAGAGTCTGATTCTAAAGGAGTTCGAGGACAAGCTCAGTTTGCATGGTTGGAGAAACAAAAAAGATGAAGATGTATTCTACAGGTGGTGGAATAAGAGTTGAAAATTGGGCGGAATTTTATTTAAAGATTTCACCCTGCTATGTGGTAGTGCCAATAATATTAACAAGCTTTCGTTGGTAGGGTTGCAACTACTTGAAAAATATAAGGAAAATTTCGACGTTTCAAGCACCACAGGCTTTTTGTCTGGAATATGCAAAAAAACAACAGCAAATACAACAAAATATATGAAACAAGTATGGAATAAGGTAAAAATTCAAAGTACTGTCAAAGTAGGCTGTTGATTTGTAAAAGCAGTTGTAGATATGGTTCCAAGTAGAATGGATTTAGTTTATATTTTTAACTGCTAAATACATAGACTTACTCTGCATCGTATAAAAAAGCAATGCAATTTTGAGAATGCGAAAATGGTTTCATAAAACCTAGAATTATTTAAATGCAACATTTCTGATCAAAATCACATTGGGATATTCTCCCCCAGCATCAATAGGGGAAATAAGGTGACACTGACCCCTCCTCCTGTTTTCAAGGTGACTTTTTCAACTTATTTAATTCCGAATAGAAATGTCTGGGAAAATTCATGCCTTCGATGTACTTTATAGTCATCGGAATCAGTGTGCAAGATTTCACTCCAAAAATGCTTAAAATAGCATTTAAGGGACTCTAGATTTCAAAATCCCCCCCGTGAGACCGTCTAGAATCCCCAGACGGTCTCACGCCTTTAGCGTTCGTTTCGGCCCCCCCCCCCAAAAAAAATGAAGGTCTGGCTACGCCACTGAGACTAAGGGTTATTGGAGAAAATGGAAGATGTTTCGGGATCTTTTTTCAAAATATGAACATTCTTCCTAATGACATCTCTAATATTAAAATTGAAAGGATGATAAGTTAGTACTAGGGGGATTTTATTGTTGCCTGCGACATTGGACACAGGCTCTGTAAGGGTCTTGGGAGGCCTTCGAAAAGGCAGTGTCGATAGAGAGGTGAGATAGCCACGTTGGACAAAAAAGTGTCTCATTTCCAGGCTTTTGGCTTAGAAGTCCTCGGTCCGCGGTCCGCCGTCCGCTTTTTATCCGTCTGCCTTTTATCTACACCCCCTCTCAAGAGTATCACCACCTTCACATAATCTCCCCTCCCCCTCGAACTATTCGGCCTTTGTTGGCAAAAGCTGATGCCATATATCGGTCACGGGTTTGAAATGGATCCATTTTATCATGAACCAGTTAAATTTTTCAACAGACGAACTATGTGTCTATACATGTATGCATAGTATAGAAATAATAGAATACTGTGTTAAAAGCCTTGCCAATAACTAGATAAGTGATAGTATCAGATAACTAGATAAGTGATAGTATTTGTATTTGAATTTACTGTGATTAAAATATGTTTAAAATGCCAGCTTATTAAAAATTGGCTTCCATAGAAGCTGCGGCTGTGAGGCACTATTTCCCTTGCGATAGTATACATTTTCATAGTGCACAGTATAGCAAGAGGAAGGATTTAATTAGGTTAAGTCATAGGTTAGTAATTGAGGGGGAATGGGGGGGGGGGGGAAAGGAAAGAACTGATGCTCAATTTTGCATCCATGAAATGTCCCATATTTTCACCCATTTCTAACCAAACTACAGTAGTTTGCCGTGGCAAAATATGTAAAAGCGGGTTTCTGGCACCTTAAAACCACATTGCTCATTTTAGGTGGGGGATAAAGGGTTAAAATTGACTTGGGATTGTGTGAAAAACTAAGAATGTCACATCCATGAAATGTCTCATATTATCACCCATTTCTAACCAAACTCCTTTTGCTGTTGCAAAATGTGTGAAGGCGGTTTTCTGGCGCCTTAAAACCAGATTGCTTGTGCTTGTGTTCAGCCTTTTCAAGGGGCTCTCCATGTCGGATGAGCGGATCACAGTTTACTATTTTTGGTAAATGTGTTTCCTAGGGCACGCTGATGAGGCCTGATATAGGGCGTAACAATCTATCTGTCATATGCGTAAAATTGTCAATTGCGAAAAGTATGCCATTTACGCAGCTGTAGTTTGATAAAATGAAACATCTATACTGCCACGAAAATTGGACTGTTATCCTGGCGTCAAATGACGTCATCACTTTTTACGTCATCGATAACGTCGTGCGAAAAATCCTAGATCCGCCCCTGGCCTAGTTGGGGAACCCAGACGTCATTTCTGACGCTCATTCTTCGCTTGGAAATAACGTCTGCGGAAACGAGCGAGAATTCGATTTCCACCAATCAGAATGTATCTCCTAAAAACCGTGAACTAACTCGTGGGATTCTCTTTGGATTTTGGAATGCGTGGGATATTCGTGGGATTTTCACGCGACAGAAAAATGCGAATGACAACAATAACAGTCGTAAGATATATTTATAGCTCTCGGGGCGTTTTCATCAAAATTTATTGTTTTTATTCTCACTTAGGCCTTGGTACTTGCAAATTGCAATAACAAAATATTTTCAACAAAAGATGCATCAGGATTTTATGCTTGTGACCATATAAAAGTAAATAAACTTTTCTGTATTTTTCTTCATTAGTTTATTCTAGAATGTACATTTGTACTCGCACATTTATAATACCAGGACCAAAGTTGCTCGTTGTTAATATTTATATTTGCATTTACATTGTCGCTTTGTATATACTCTGCCCTTGCGTTTTTGAACGATTCTTAACAAAGTTTTTTAAAGGGAATATTTTGAAAACTATTTTTAATAACCAGGTGATGACAAAGTGTTACTGAATTGTAATTTGTTTGAAACTTGAAAGGCATTGAATGTAGAAAGTGCCAAATAGAACTAGCTAGATAATACGGTAAAATAATGTAACCGATTGTCTATTGATCATACAGTACCGATATCAATCTTAATTTCAGACCTGAAGTTATAAACAAAATACATTTACTTCTGAGTTCTGGCGATCATGTTTTTTTGGGAAAGTATTTAATAATTTGAATTTCTCTCCCGTATTTATTGCAACAAAAGTGCTACTATAATATATAGGACTACTGCTACTATATATAGTATGAAACTGCTACTATAATATATAGTACTAAACAGTATGTATGTAAATACAATCACAAACTACTTAGTTAGAAAACACACTGCATGCTAATGTACGTACATATATTATTATTTAACTAAAGTGAATTTGAACAATCAAAACGTTTAAACTGTACATATTTGCGAATAGTTTCGCTACTGTGACAGGTTTTACAACAAGTTCACGACCAGACTGTTCCCAATGCAATGAATGCATGAAATTATTGATTGTTGCCGTATAATCTTGCTGCAGAGCGTTATAGACATAAACAAAGTGTCCTATACATTATTTTGGCCGGCCGTACTTTTAATGAACTGTAATATAATTGGAACAGAATAGGACTGACACATACAAAGATTACATGACTTTGTCCATGTCTGCACGTTCATTCATACAGTATTTTAATAACGCACTAATACAGTATTTTAATAACGCACTAATGTATAAAATGAATTGCGTAGAAAATTATATTCTTCACAGACTAGTTCAAATCACAATCTGTCGAACGAGCTGTGAAAGTTTATAGCCTTGTTGTTGGACCGAGAACAACACTTTGAAACTCCAGTATGATATATCATAGTAATTTTCCTCACCATATTTTTATTGATAACATCCTATGCGACTTTCTCATGGTCGACATACGTATAGACAACCCCTTCGGCGTCGCCCAGTATTGAAGTTGAAAATATTCAATAAATTCAAATAACTTCTAAAACAATTATATTTTCCAAAACACACATCATATTTTCCAACTGAGAGGTGTCTTCTTTAATTAATACACATTGTCATTGATACAGTAGAACTTTGTATTGTGGGTATACTTTTTCGAAGTTTCGTCCATATTTTCAGAATAAAATTACAATTAATTTATATTTTTATAATAAAAAACGCGGCTCCGTTCGTGTGGTCCTACACGCGTTGTACACGCGTTTGCGCACTTCCAAGCGCGTTTTAATTGGCTAACACAGACAATAGACATACGTCACGGAAATCGAATTCCCGCTCGTTTCCGCAGACGTTATTTCCAAGCGAAGAATGAGCGTGGGAAATGACGTCTGGGTTCGCAGACTACCCCTGGCCAGCGAGGCAGCGACCAATGAATGTATATAGACTTTTCGCTCGACAACAAAATCCTCATAGAATTAATGAATTAGTGCGTGATCTTAATACTTTACTAAATTATTCAAACTGTATTACTATGATTTAGAATCACTGTAGGACACACGAGAGGCCAGTCAGCTCCAGTTTCAGATTCGCAGCTCCAGTTTCAGATTGAATCTGGAGCCAGAGGCATGGCGTTCGTGTTCATTTTTATTTTTATTTTACAAGATTCGCCGCACCAAACAAATATTAAACTTATTCAAATATCTACGAGTGCATTGGCTGGGACTGACCACAGAGATAAACTCCAATAACGGGGTCCCGACAAAAAATACAAATTACTATACATGCACAAAAACATTAATTGGCTTTCGCCAAACTGTCAACCGTGACATGACCTGAAAGATAAATTTTGAATAGAACGGGTAGAGTGGCATTTGACGCACACCGATTTAAAGGTTCTAGGATTGTCTAACAAGGGCAAATAATGTTAACCAATCAGCGCGTTTGTTTACATTTTGTGCGATTGACCAATCAGAATGCCTGAAATTCACAACATGTAAACAAAAGGAGTGAGAAAATAACACCTTGTTCTAAGTCCTCGGTGACATTCGTTATTCAAATTTTCACTCTAAAACTGACGAAGTATTATAAAGCGGACTATTTTCCCCATTTTCCTCGGGGGGATTTTTTAATTTCGATCTATAACGCAAAATATCAATGTTTATAAAACCCTGTTTTTACGCACTTAAACTAGCTTGACTAGCTTGGCCGAAGCATGAAATATACCGAATAGAACCGATTATCTGTACTTAATAAGACGTGTTTGTAGCAATTACACATATAAATGTTGTCAAAGGATGCAACGGTAGATACGTTTAAGTTAAATACAGTTTTGCGTGAAAATTTCACACGGGATTTTTACAAATAGATTTCTATATACAAATCGAACATAATTTTACATCGTTTATGGCGGGAAAATTCGCGCCTTTTTCGCAAAAAAGTGTTCTTTTTTTCCTTCTCAAATTAAAACTGGTAGTATTACTGTAAAATTACGAACATGCCTAAATTTCAAAGGTCGTGCAACAACCCCTTTCATGAAAACTGGTCAAAAGATGAAGGGAAAAAGATTGTTAATCTCCGAGGTCGTGGTTTGGTCACGATAACAACTGTTTTCGAGCAGTACGTCGAAGAGGAAACGGGTAAAAAATCGGCCCATGGCATAAAAAACCTTTGTACAACATGTCTTCATGAATGTTTTAATAAGCGTAGATTCACTAAGCTGCTTCCAAAGGGCCAGAATGATCAGCTAAAAGATAAAGTACAGAGGCAGGTAAGCTAGGAGAACAAGGCCAGTAGTGTGTTTGACCATATTCTTAGCTGGTAACTTACAGTTTGAGATTGAAGACACAACATGCCTCAAGAGGGGACTATAGGTGGTGGTGGGAAAAAATGCAATCTCTCCACTAACCCTCCTGAGGGCCTTTTGTGACACCATTGAAGGGAGGGGGGGGGTGTAAAGAAAGTACTCGGTTTTATTTCTCTATAGAATTAAACAATTTTGTTCAAGTATGATACAATTAAAGTATGCAAACCTAATCCAACCAAATGTGGGCTGGTTCTTGATAGAGGATGGTGAGTGTGCATTGAATTGATTGGAGGGGGTTAATTAAGGAACCAGGGCCGCTGAGAGAATTCGCATTGCCCGGAGAAAATCTTCTCCGGGGCCCATGACATCATTATTTTTAATCTGAACCCAAGTCAGTCACCCAACTATAGACCTTAGCTACTGTAGACTGCAAAAATGTGCTGACCAAATTAAAGAACCTACTCAATTTTAGGCTTTTGCTGTCAAGTTGGGGCCCTATTACTGTGTAAGCTGGGGGCCTGGGGCAATTCCCCCCCCTGTCCCCCCTCTTGGCGGCCGCCCTGTAAGGAGCGTTGGGTGCTGATACCATTTCAATGGAGACATCTAAAGATTTATTCAGGAGATATTTTTGTAGTATTTTTACAGGTGCATAAATTGTGTTCAGTTTGTCACACAGCCTTGAAATTCTCAGATTGTCACCCATATGTGCCAATACTAAATTTCGACTAATAGATAATATTGGCACTCCTCCGATACATACAAGTAAAATTGGGGAGCTAAAACCAAATGTATCAATCAGGACACATAACACCACTTAATAGATTAACCCCTTTACTTGATATGTGCCTAGTAGATAAGCCTACTTACATGTAATACATGTGCCCAGATATGACTACTTATCCTGTCCTACACTGGCCAAACAATTTTACCTGTTAGTAAAAAAGTACTACCCATTAGCGTATCATCCAGTTAAGGCGTAAAAAAAATACCTGTGGTTCCGGTTCCCGACCGACCCTATTTTTTTTCCTGCCGACTCTATTATTTTTTCAACGCGATTGACCGTGCGACCCTATTTTCTCCAGGTGGTTGCGGGCTGCAACCTCTAGTTAATAATGATGATATTTGATGTTGGGACTCTACTGCAAATCGCCCAGCAAAAAACCAGCAAAACCATGAAAAAATATTCAAAAAAAAAAATTATTTCCGACCTACCGACTCTAATTTTTTCACGATATGAAACCGGAACCACAGGTATTTCTTTTTTAGGCCTAATGGTTCAAATCAATATAAAATGTGATTGAATGAGTAAATTACCTGGTTGTCATCCTCTTTCTGTCATTGATTGTAATTAATCCATATTTGCCATAGCTGCAGATATTGGAAAATTCCACTGGAGACATAGTAGCAAACCAAACACCTGAAGTAGTCTTAGATGCTGAGGAAGATGAAAACCCAGTAGACGAGACTTCAACAGTTACAATGAGTTCACCTGTATCATCAGATCAACTAGAACAGCTAACTAATACTCAATCAAGTAATGCCACCACAATAACTTTGAGTTCTCCAGAGCAAACAGTTGGCCATTGGGACGAAAGTCAAGACATCTCTGGCACTACTAGCACTGTGGCAGAAAAAGAGTGTCAGACAACAAATGGTATTTATCTTTCAAATGATGAGTACGAGTCACTGCTAAAGAAAGCTTCCTTTTGCTCAAATTTCCAGAATGATCTTCTCAAAATCAGATCATTCGTTTCTAACATGACTCAACCAGAAATGGACCCCAATGCATTTGAGAAGTTATGCATAGATGCTGGTGCTGAGAACCTCTACCATTGTATAAAAGATGCTATATGTAGTGAGCGAATGTCAGACGAACGTAAACACCTAAGCGGTATACGTGCAATGGTTATCATTTATATAATGATGTACTCACAATCTCAAAAGTGCAATTTATTTCAAGTTGCTTTGTCCAGAATCCTACAGCAGTTTGGCATAAGTAATGAAGTAATTGAATCCCTCAGAAATCTTGGCATTGCTGCACACCCACAAACGATCAGAGCTTCAACAAAATCATCTTCGTTTTCACACTCAGACCATGTCCTCACCTTTATAGAATCTGCAATTGAAAATAACCACTTCATCTTATTCCTAATTGATGATTACTACAACATTCATACAAAACATAGACATGAGGAAAAGACACAAACCCAAGCCATCCACATGGCAACTTTGCTTTTAAAGGTTTTCCCAGAAGTTAAAGCTGTTTCCAACCATGGAGTTAATTTATTGCCTCAGTACCCTGTTGAAATCCCTAGTGTCAAAAGATTCATTGCCTGCAGCATGTCCAAGTTGTCTAAGACATATGCAGAAAATATGCCAGACTGGGTAGTATCAAAATATTTTGATCCGGAAGCAGAAAGACACAGATTATTGGTTCATGACTATCAGCAAACTGAAATTCAGCAAATGAGATCTATGAAAAACACAAAACTTGTTGATAGTATTGAGCTGCCTTTGAAATCATTGGATGATGTCCTCACTGCAGTAAACAAAGTCTTGTCAAGTGGTCTGAACAAGTACCTGAGTCAATTTATTGCCCCTTTTATTGGTGACTGGCCAATGCAATTTTTTATTCGACAGCTGGTATATTCTAATGCTCCAACAGTACCTGCAACCCTGAAGAATGTAATACCCTTGATTGGTCCATTACACATTTCATTGAATGCCAGAGAGTGTGTATTGTTACTATTCCATGAAGTATTCGCTGATCTCTATGCCTTTCTTTTTGGAAAAAAAGCAAAGCTGGCCAAAAAACCAAAGCCTTGGCGAGTATCTTTACTGCTGGAAGTAATATATGGAGGGTGGACACTAGTGAGAGATATGATTTTGTCTGTCTTTTACAAGTGCAAAGACATTGAGTTCCTCACACTGGTAAACCTTCTTGACAACTACATTCCATTGGTATTGAGTATTTATTCCATAGTCTTCAAGTGCAACAAGTATGAACTTTTTTGCCAATCAATGTTCCACTGTTGGGTTATGTTTGTTGTATTCCGCCGTCGTCACTACAACAAAGCACTACTGGTAACACTTTCCACATTCCTCCACTGGCAAGAAAAGAGCCCATCCATGTTTGAAACCCTACGTCAACACTTGGTGGCCTTTGATGAGTATCCTGTGGAGAATTTTCACTCGGTGTTACGACAAAGAACAAAAGAGACTGATTCTGCAGATCAAATTGCACGCAAGGCCAAGGAAATTGATGCCTGTAAACACGATTTAAATTCCTTCCAGGCTGTATTTGTTCCACCTAGAAAGTTCAATTTTAGTTCAAAACGTATCGATAAGTTGAAAGCAAAAGCAGCCGAATTTCTCACTACTAAGTTTGAGACCCTCTATACCAATCCCCACAAAGCAGTTCAACAACCTCGGGCTCCCCGGCAACCAAAACATACCAGCAAGTGGAAACTTCCCAACCTTTTTGGTCAAAAAATTGTCACCAATCAAGTGCTACCTCTAGGATTCATGTCTGTGCAAACCCAACCAAACCCAGCCAGGTAAACTGAACAACTGCCCGGCATTTCAAAATTTCCTGCATTAAAGTAATATTTTGGTTTAAATGTCATTCTAACTAGAACAAGCCATAAACACATGCATACTCTAATTAAATTTTGTGGTTTAGAGACAAGCTAAATGGCACACATACAAACTGTTCAAATTAAACAATTTAGGGACGTTGTGTTTAATCTGAATTTAACAAATTAATATATTCAATGCAGGGTTGCCCAAACGGAGAGATTTCAAGGGCAGGAAAGTTTCCACTGCAGTGCACTGGTCATTAGGTCATGTAAATATATAAACAGTATTACATAATAGGTATTTATAGACTATAGTATGTATATTAAACTGATATTACACAAAATAAAATGTGAATCTTACTTTAAAATTTCTATAATTATAGAAAATGTGATTTGATTGACTGCCAAAAAGAAAGCTCCATGTGGAATGTTTTTCGTGGATGTGGACATTCGTTCCACATTGTCTGCATCCTCCCAGACATCAGCGATTGCCCGATTTGTCGAACAGTAATATCGAAAACAGTTGAAGACCTCGGTCAAACAGCAAACAATTCCGTTTCAAATGTGCACGTGTCCGTGCCCTCTGCTGCTGGTGAAGAAAGCGACGAGGAGGACGATTTATCCGACGACGATGACGACGAAGACGATCAACAGGGCGACGAGCAAAACGAAAGTGTCAACATTGACACGTTAATTGAAAGAATTCGCCATTGGCGAACGCCAGAGCGGGCAGAGCCGACAACAGAATAACAGTATTAAAACCGGATATGATTGAGTCTCTTTCTCTCTGACATATTTCCGGCGAAAAGGAAGTGAGATAAAATACAAGCCTACATTGAAATAGCTCAAAACTAAAAAATTAGTAAGATAATCGGTTCTATTCGGTATATTTCATGCTTCGACCAAGCTAGTTTAAGTGCGTAAAAACAGGGTTTTATAAACATTGATATTTTGCGTTATAGATCGAAATTAAAAAATCCCCCCGAGGAAAATGGGGAAAATAGTCCGCTTTATAATACTTCGTCAGTTTTAGAGTGCAAATTTGAATAACGAATGTCACCGAGGACTTAGAACAAGGTGTTATTTTCTCACTCCTTTTGTTTACATGTTGTGAATTTCAGGCATTCTGATTGGTCAATCGCACAAAATGTAAACAAACGCGCTGATTGGTTAACATTATTTGCCCTTGTTACGTTATCGACCGGCGAATAACAAAAAAAATCACGTGCGCCATCACGTGAAGATGCGACCTTTGGACATGCCTAGTACGTAATTAAAACTTTCGCTTTAAGTAACTTCAGTGCAGCCGGTATTTAATATAACGTTTTAACAATAAAACATTTCATGTATTTACGTTCATTTGTTCTTTAATTTGTTGTTTCTTTGACTATTGATATATAATAAAACACTTATTTACTGAGACATCGGGAAAGCAGTATGTTTTGTGGACCCTTGACCGTCGATGTTTCCCGAGGCGAAGGCTTCGCCTCGGGAAACATCGACGGTCTCGGGTCCACAAAACACACTGTTTCCCTCGGTCTCAGTAAATAAGTGATAAATATTCACCTCGACTTCGTCTCGGCGAATATTCTCCGATAATCACCTCGCCTTCGGCGAATAATTGTTAATTGTTCAGCAAAATGTCAACTTTGTATGACTTTTGTTTTGTTATTGCTGCCAGCTGCTATCTCGTTCCCAGAGTATGCCTGTTCGTGGGTTAGGTAGTGTCATGCCCACTGAGCCATAATATATCTCATATATGGAAAATATCGCGCTTGTCCCGCGAGTAGGCCTTGACCGATTGTGCTTGGCAACTTTTTAGCAACCTTTTGCTTCCGGAACAACTTTTTTCACTTCAAGCAACATTTGCTTTTCAGAGCAATTTTTGAGCAAATTTTAGCAAAATTAAGCCCAAATCAAAATTTTTGATAATAAAAACACTTTCTAATGTTTATTTCATGATGATTATCCACAGGACCCCCTCACGTTACGACCGCGTGTTGCGGCAACCTCGTTCCCAGGCTCTTTAGAGGAAAGAGCATGGGAACGAGGTTGGTGTGGCGGCTGATGGCCCTAACTTAGTATTACATACTTGGGTTCCCTGTGCATTTGTTCAAATATAAAAACAAAATGCTAATTAATTAGACGCATGGCCGAATCAGAAGACCTAGACATTCGTCTGACTTATCAGGAACAGACAGCGAATGTTACAGTTATTGTTTAAAAGTAAAAGTTTTTTTTTTTTTAAATATGTTGATGCGAACGATTTATTAAAAACTTTTTCGTGTTCAAATTTCAAGAAAGTTAGCTTGACTCTTGAGAGGTATTATTTGGCAATTATTTAAAAATATAGACGCTTTTAATTAAGTATGCCTGAAAATAACGTGAAATTTGGGTAACAAGTAGGTGCAACTTTTGAAGTTTAGGTAGCAACTTTTTGTATTATTGGCAACATTTTAGCAACTTTTGCCATTTTAACTGGCAACTTCTTGGGATTTTACGAGCACAATCGGTCAAGGCCTACGGCCTCTAGGCCTCGCGGGCCGCGAGTTCGAGACATATGCGACAGTGCGAGACGGCTCAAACAAATTCATATTTGCGCCTTGTTTTTAAATTTAATAGTGAAAATATTTAAGTAAATATATATTATTCACATGTGTTTGCTTGTGGTAGGTTGAAATTTAAAGAATATGGCTAGCCAAGGCGATGAATCGAGTGGAAAAGTGAAGGCGAAGTCGTCAATTTAATATAAAACTTGAAGAGGCAAGAGGTCGCACCGCCGTTGGTTTCGCTGCAATTCTAGTACTGATACAAAAGGTACAAAGCTTTACACTTTTATATTTTATGCTGCTTTGTTTCCTGCTATGACGATAGTTGGTGGGACTGGGAAAATATTGCAGCCCGAATTTTATTCAATTTCGGGCTGCGAGCAGGCTAAGTTTGGCCACACAATATTAAGGGTTTGTGTTGGCTAGTATTTGTTTATCAATCCTATTAATGATTAACTGCCTTAAATTTCCAGTCCTCGTGCGAAGCTCCTTGCAGCTCGCTGCGAGTGATGCATGAACACTTTCATCCAATCACAATGCTTAAGAGTTAATTTTAATTAGATGCAAGCACTCGCAGGAGCTTCGTGCGAGGACTGGAAAACCGCCTTTAGGCCTGGATATAAAGTTTCTAAAATCCTGCACATAGTGTATATTCTTGCAATGCATACAGAATATACCCTTCTGGAAATTATTTCACTTTGGCTACAAAGCCCAACAAAAAGGATGGCCAAGGTGATGTCAGTATGATTCAGCTAGGATATATGAAACGTTGGATAGTAATATACCGTAAACCTCTGAATATAACCCCCTGGCCCCTCCCTCCCGGTATAAGCCCCCTGTGTATAAGCCCACTAACACTCAGGCCATTCCGAATGTAAGCCCCTCCATGTCTATAAAGCCTGTTAGTTAATTAGCACAGAGACAGCGATTCCAACAGCTCAGACGAGTGACAATATAAATTACAGAAGATTACAGTATTGTAATGTATAGATTATACACTGTATGTTTGTCCTGGGTACAAGGTTGTGTGTTTGTATTACTTTTTGTTTACGGTATAGTTTACACATACAATAAATATTATTACTATTAAATTAAACATCAAATCCTGTCACTACATAAACCCCTCCCCCATAATTATTAAGCCCTCCTGTGTGTAGGCTCATGCATACAACCTCGTTCCCAGGCTCTTTGCTCTTGGGAAGCAAAGACCCTGGTCGGAGCTGGTCACGTGAACCCCCAGATTTTGGGGGTAAATTGAATTTGATCTCAGGGAGGGGTAGTAGAGTAGTCTGTTTGTTGCGTTTAGAAAATTGCAACTTTATGTGTTATAATTTTGGGTGATAAAAATGTAATTTGCAGCAAGAGATTGTGAAAGGAACTGTTCTAAATTCGTACCGATCATGACAAGACTTCCTGCTGACTTCCTGCGTTACATTTCAAGCGAGAAGCTGGATCATATTTCACTTGCAAGGAAAACACTCCACACGCGCCTGGCTTGCAAAGTTGAGCACGTATCGCCGTAGAAACATACATCAGTATCTTCTACACAGACTGATCGATCAAACGGTATTAAACGAACGATATATTCTTTATAGTTGAAGTGTATCCTGTCCGATATTCAAAACAAAAGATTTATTTTATAACGGGATCCTTTGATTTCCCAAACATTGCCAACATGTGTAAACAATAGTGCTATTTTGACTGTAAAAGCACAGGATTAAAAACCGTTATGGACTGGCTATAAAATTCATTTCATTTACATTGCTGAAACTCAACGATCAAGAAAGATAATGTCGAAGTGTAGCTAGCTATCTGTTATCACACAAACGCCAAGACTCCTCCGTGCGTTTCCGTGCGTCCAGGGTGGAAAGTTTGTTTTTTGTGCGCCGAAGATTTGATTAAGGTTCAGTAACATGCGCCAGTGGCTGCAGTGCTGCACAAATCCTGTTTTAAACATATTCACATGCGCCGCCGAGTTGCAATGTCAACACTTTTAGAGCCGAGACAGAACAGATACTAAACTTTTGAAATACGGTCAGTCAGTGCTCAATCAAATTCCAGTTATTACATGGCTGAAATACAAACAGAAATGGTTGAGAATGTTGTAGTGTGCACAAATAAATAAATTTTTGTACGCCAGTGCGCCACACCAGTTCATTTTCCCATAATTCTGCGCCAAAAAGGAGCAAATTTATGAATTTTCCACGCCGAAGATCTTCGGCGCAACCTACAAACTTTCCACCCTGGCCGTGCGTGCGGTACAACTTGAATATCTAGGACGATAATAAATATGCACCAGACACTGGTATTGTACTTTATATAAATTATTTCATATTTTGTATATACAGTAATTTGCAACATGTATAATATTAGACCTTTCATTGACATTGGCATTGTCCATTGAAGGCTTTATTGAAGAATAATCCAGCTTCTTTAGACTTGTATAATGGATTAATGCCGCTGTGAGTTATCAATATTTAAATCAACTTTAATCTTTATCGTATACTGTAATCGACATTCTAGAAGTTTAGTCTATTTTACCAAACAATACTGGAGGCAAACAACCTATCTATCAATGGAAACTTTAAAGGTTTGTTACAGTAAAACTCAGTAATATAAGCGAGACTTCGTGTGCATATACAGTTTATGAATTATGTATATCCCTGATAAAACGTAGGAGACTTTATACCAGATACAATAAAAAAATACTTTGCTAAACCTTTTCGGCTGGCATTCCTTTGCATTTAAGGGGAGAGGGTAAATGGCGATAGAATTTATAGGAGATGCTGTGCAATATTTCAGGCTTCAACAGACAGGTACTCGTGCAGACAAAGAAGGAAATTCATGCAGTTTTGAATTGTCGTATGTCAGCTGTGCACTGTCGATTTCAAACAATTTTGTACGTTATATTTTGTCTTCCTGGTGTTTAATATAAACGATGATAACCTTTTAAAAAAAAATCTAGAGCAATATGTCTGTAAACAGTTTTAGAATCAATAGAATGGACATTCAATGTGTATTTGGCTTGTGTCCAAATGTGTCACGTTTAAGACCGGCAAGGCGCTAATTCTACGACCTATAAACAGTCGCTTTTGAGACATCTGTTTAACAAAATTTATACCATGTCCATATCAGAACAATTCATTGGCATATTATAAGCATATTATTAATATATCAGAGCCAGAACAGAAACGTATGCGTGAAATAAAACTACGCCCGAACCGGCGAACCCCGCGAGAAAATAAAAATATTTCAAAGCGTACAGTCATACGTTCTCGTTGCTTGATTTCCTGAATTTTCTGTTGCTATAAGAATCTGCATTTTAGCATGTTTGTATAATTTAAAAGCAAACAGAAACCAATTTAGCAAGTAGTTTGAGGGATATATGATACTTGAAGATGAATTAATGATTGTACAGAACGGCCACTCCTTGCAATCGAAGTGCGGAAGTGGAAACATGTAATATGAGACTTTTCCATCCCCCTCTTGGGCTATCAATTTTCAATGGGTCACGTGACCAGCTCCGACCAGGGTCTTTGCTTCCCAAGAGCAAAGAGCCTGGGAACGAGGTTATCATGCATATTGGGTCATTCCAGAAAAGATTCACACTCCCCCCATGGAGGAAATTTCTGCCGTCCGGAGGGGGAGGGGAGAAAAAATTGTTTCTGATAATAGTAAATGTATTAGGACATCTGAAGGGGGTAGGGGGGTTAACTTCCAATTTCCTCTGTGGGGGTAGTATGGATCTTTTCTGGAACGACCCATTTGTGGTATAGTTGCATGCAAGTTTCACTAAAAATTTCATACTACGATTTCAATCAGCCAATAGACAATTCCCAAATTTGCTTGCTGGGAATGAAAACTTACTTCTCAAGAAATGGCTGTAAAAATCGACACTAAAATAGTCCAGCACAGACCACAGCAGTGGCCTCACTTCGGGCTTCATTCATCACTGGAAGTTCTTCCCACACTTGGCGATCAAGGTCAAAACATTCCACAGAATCAAGACTTTTCTTTTCAAAGCGATCATAACCTCCCATCACAATAACTTTGTTACCAGCAACTGTCGCTGCACATGACGACCTTGCATACCTCATTGACGGCAACATTTTAAGAGTGTTTCCTTTGACATTGTACAAAATAACTGTGTTTAATGACATGCCATTATTAGCTGTGCCTCCAAGTATGATCACATTGTTTTTCCATCTTACAGAAGCTACATCACCACATGCAAATGGCAAAGGACTCATTTCTGTGAATTTATCATTTACTGTATCATATGATAACACAGTAGTGGCAACTTTTGCTATGGAACTTGATGTTGATCCCCCAAATATGAACAGGGATTCTTCAAAAGCTTGCAAACCATGAAAACAGATTGGCTGTGGCATTTCACACTTCATTTCTATGGTGTATGGGGGTTGAAGTAAGATACTGTAAATGGTTTTGTACGAATTCTCCCCATCGTATCCACCAACCAAATAAAGACAGTTATTAATAAGAACAACTTTATGTCCACAAATCTTCATAGGCAATTTCACAGCTGGGAAAGGAATCCACTTGAATGGCTTGCAGACCAATGATAATCTTTCTATTGTATCACTACAACCTTCATTGGACCGTCCTCCACTGATAATGACATCATTTCCATACAATACTGATGCCGCAGAACCACGTGATTCTTGCATGGATTGCAACACTGTCCACGTCTGAGAGCCTGGATACAAAACCTCAGCAGAGCTCAAGTTAACCCCCTCATTCTGGCCACCAATAACCATGACATTAGCTTCGACCTTAACTGAGGGTACTTGCGATGATGTTGCTATGTTTTTTTATCACCTCCTATTCTCTGTAATGCATTCAATACTTCTTTCTGGGAATTGCAAATTTCTCCCAAACATTCTTTATTTCTGCCCATTCTAGTCCCAATTTGTTGAGATCCTTACTAAGTACACATGCATGCTTACTGAATTTCTTATAAATCATTTCATCCTCACAGTCAGGGCAATATACCAGTCTGTACTCACATGCATTGATCACGTGTTCAGTCAGATCTTCTTGGTTGAATGTTTGTCCACATTTCTCATTTGTACAAACAATGGGACGGTAGTTACACTCAGGAACATGTGCTTGTAGTCTTGAAACTGGTAGCACCTCAGTACAACCTCTTTCCGAGTGATCGCAGCTAATCATAAGACCATTCAAATAATCTGTAAGAATCCTAGGAGGCTGAGCCAATGTTTCCTCGCTCAGATCTTGCACACAAATAGGGCATGATTTCGCATTCTTTTCAAGGTGTTTCTTTATGCAGCTTTTGCAGAAATAATGTTGATTTTGACATTGAACAGGATCTTTTAAAACTTCTGCACAGATTGGACAAAGAAAGTTGCTATCCACAGTAATTTGGAAGCGATTTGTGCTCAGTGTTTCCACAACGCATCATTGAAATTTCCTTGATTTTGCTTTAAAATTTCCTTGAATTTCCTTGAAATAGGATGTAATTTCCTTGAAATTTCCTTGATTAACCGAAGTATATTTCGGCAATTAGAATCATTAATACTTATATAAAGTAAGACAGAAACAGAATGGTACATTTCTTTCGTACAACTCTTAAAAACAAAGTCTTTACACAACAATTTTGAAAGCTTTAAAATGTAAAATACCAGGGTTTTAATATTGTTCTCAACGTTAACTGTGTCAACAAATTCATATGACAAATAAAATCATATAAATTCGCATGACAGCTACCCTGGATTCCAGAGCCTTCGACAGTAAATAATAAATTGAAACATCGGTTACGTCGCGAAGGTTCTGGTTCAACGGGAAGACTCTTTGATTAAACCGCGCCAATCACAAAACAGAATTAGTGTTTTTTAGTACAGATTCTGTACTAAAACCACTAATTCTGTTTTGTGATTGGCGCGGTTTAATCAAAGAATCTTCCAGTTGAACCAGAGCCTTCGCGACGTTTCAATTTATTATTTACTGTCGAAGGCTCTGGAATCCAGGGTACATGACAGCCAACCTGTGCAGCTAACACGTGGTGGCCTGCACGCAGCACGCTACCTGCCTAAAATTCAGGTTGTGTTTTCATTAATAATTTTAGATTCAACTGACTCGGTCACAGGATCCGAAAGAGGTTTTTTTATTTTGTACACAGACATATTGGTTATGAGCGAAGGAAAGTAATATAATTTAAAATTAATGAAAGGTTAATCTTCAAAACATTTCAGTTCAATTAGTTGATTCAAAAATTCCTTAAATTTCCTTAGAATTTTCAAAAATTCCTTAGATTTCCTTGATTCCTTTTTTTTCCTTGAAACGTCTTTTTTCGGTCAAAATTTCCTTGAAAAAGGAAATTTCCTTGAAAGTGGAATCACTGTTTGTGCTGTAACCTGAACAGCACGCCATTATCTATATCAGCAGTGCTTCCATTCTCAAAAAACATAATTTCCTTCAAAACCTTGAAAATTTCCTTCTTTTTGGAAAAATTTCCTTGCAATAAAAATTATTCAATTTTAACTAATTTAAAACTGATTTTATAGTTATTTATCCGACGAATAACGGGGTATTTCTTGTGCGAGAAGGAACATAGACGTTACAGCGGCTGAATTATCAAAGGAGAGAGACAAAGAGTTTACGTAGATGAACACAAAGGAGAATAAGCCGGGGAGTCTGGAAAATTTTCAGATTTTACATCTCGCAGGACAGGATTTTCAGCACATTTTGAAGCACATTTCCTTGGAAATTGCCGTATTCTTAGGATTTTTTACAAATAAGGCAATTTCCTTCACATTTCCTTCAATCTTCCGAAATTTCCTTCAAATTTCCTTCAGATTCGAATTTCCTTATAATTTCCTTCAACCACAGCCGGCCCAATCTCGCAAGGGTCAGTATAGACTTTATATGAGGGTCTAGATGGGGTTTAATGTTAAGTGTTGACGGCCCATATTCTATAGTGTTTAATGTTGAAACGCTAAATATTTTGTTGTTTACTGTCATGGAAGACTTCGCAGTTAAGTGTTGTAATTACTATAAAAAGTCTAATGCATTTCAAAAAGGGCTTTAAACTACTAAATTTCAGACAAAAGAATACGAAACTATATTAAAAGCGATGTCAGAGTGTGTTTACAGGTCTTACAGATCTTTATAGCTTTTACATCTCTTGTCACCTTGCCCAGCACCTGCATCTTTGCCTTCATGCAGGCCAACACATGCGCATATGGGCCTGGTGTGCCAATTACAAAATATGCAAAATATGTCTTTGATGGTCTTAGAGACTTAGACGACTGTGCATTTGCTTCCTACATATAATTAAGTTCTTTTTTACGTCTTCATGAAATTAGCAAAATTTTACTATTATGTGAAATTTTTTACTGTTACTGTTAAATTACTAAAAAATCAAATGTTTACTGTTTTGGGCACCACCCCATCTAGACCCTCTTATATAGTATGAATTTATATTATATTAATGTATATTATAGTAAAAATATGTCGTAAAATATAAATTTTAAAATGAAATTGACTTGCCTATTTGATAGTGTGTGTTCTCCTTTTATTCCTCCTTTGTTGGACTAATATTTTCCAAGACTTTGTACTCGATGTTACTAGTATACACGAAACATGATAAAGGCTAACGATTCCCGATCGTCGATACGACGGCACAGCACTTCGAATCGAAAATTTTCACACTCAAATCGCTTTATTCTCCAAACAAATTCGCCAGCATATACAACAAATGCCGTTCTTCGAAAATACGGAGGTACTGCGGCGAGATGTACAAGTTTTGGACCATATTTTAACAATGGAAATCAAAACCCATTTTATATTGAACTTACCCGGACCGAAAATTACTACGGCGAACGTCTGCGCAACCAGGCCTCCTTTACCGTTGGATTTACAGGGGGGGGGGCAGATATTTCCGGTAACAGCCAGCCAATCGCGGCCGCGTAGCGACTGTTTACATTATTTGAAATTTGACATTCAAAATAAAAACTCCTTCGATCGATCGGATACTGTATAAAACTCGAGATGTTGTCGAAGAAAAAAAATTAAACGACGGAGATTGAAGAAATTTAAGGAAGAAGTAATATACAGCGGCTCTTTGTTGGAAAGTATGGTAGAATATGATACTTTAATTCGAAATATTATCGTGAGTATATTAGTGGCATCCTCCCCCCCTGTAAATCCAACGGTAAAGGAGGCCTGGTTGCGCAGACGTTCGCCGTAGTAATTTTCGGTCCGGGTAAGTTCAATATAAAATGGGTTTTGATTTCCATTGTTAAAATATGGTCCAAAACTTGTACATCTCGCCGCAGTAGAGATAGAGATAGAGATAGAGATAATTTAATTTGCCACAGATATCAGTTATATACAAGTTATTTTATGATAATAATATAGTTAATTTTAAATAGTCAATATGTATACACCATAAAATAGATATCGGTGGCAAGGAGGCATCCGGAAACCATAGGGCTTGTAAATAGGATGTCTCCTTGGAGCAGTAGTAACAGAAAATATAGATCAGAAAAATGATTAGTTAGGAGAGGTCAAGAAAAACGTAATTAGGCATCTAGCAAGTATTTCAAAATTCTATTCCTGAAGCAATTGATAGTCTGTGCACTTTTGACGGACTCTGGGAGAGAATTCCACAATTTGGGTCCTTGAAATAGGATGGTAAACTGCATTACATTTGTTCTACATGCATGAGCTCGGTATGAACTCGCATTTCTGGTGTTGTAATCATGGATTTCATTGTTGGTAATAAACAGATTGAGAAAAGAAGGTGGTAATAGCTGATTGTGGTAAGAAAACATAAATTTACCAATATGGAAGGAATTAAGCTGATATATATTGAGTATTTTTAATTTACTAAATAGTGGAGCAGTATGCGCCCGGTAATTAGAATTGGTCAGTACTCTGACAATTCGTTTCTGTAATAGAAATATGCGACTTAAATTGGAAACATAGGTGGAGGACCAAGCAGTGTTACAATAGGTAAGGTATGGGTAGATTAACGTATAGTACAATGACAATTTAGTACTAGCTAACAAGTAAAAACGAGCTCGATAAATTATGCCGATAGACTTAGAAATCTTTTTACAGACATGACTAATGTGAGGTTTCCAGGTGAGATTCTCATCCAGAAAACCCCCAGAAATTTAACCTTTGGTTTACGAGTAATACATTTGTCATCGAAAGAGAGAGATATATCATGAGAGACTTTCTTATGCCTGGAATGGAAAATAACATAGTCTGTTTTGTCAATATTAACAGAGAGTTTATTTGCTCTCATCCAAGAACCGATGCTTTGTAATGCTTCGTTTAACACTGCAGCTAGTACCACAGGGTCAGAGTGAGAGTAACAGATGCTGGTATCATGTGCAAATAACAAAGGTTCAACTATACGGGAGGCATTCGGAAGGTCATTTATATATAAAATAAAAAGGAGAGGGCCCAAAATTGAACCTTGAGGCACACCACATTGGGTAATTAACTGACTAGAAGTAACGTTGTTGTACTGAACAAATTGTTTACGGTTGTGAAAATAACTTTTGATCCAATTTAGCGCGACTCCGCGTATGCCATAGTTTTCGAGCTTTGAAAAAAGTATACCGTGATTTAGTGTGTCAAACGCTTTCGACAAGTCTAGAAATACACCAATAGAAATTTTGTTTTGATCGATTCCAGTTGCTATTTTATTTACTAAATGTGTGAGGGCATGATTAGTTGAATGTTTGGTACGAAAACCAAACTGAAAAGAATACAAAATTTCAAATCTTTCTATAAAATTAAGCAAACGATTATACATAACCTTTTCATAAATTTTAGAGAAACTTGACAAGATCGAGATAGTTCTATAGTTCGTAAATATATCTACATCACCAGCTTTAAAAAGAGGAATTACTTTTGCCGTTTTAAGGTTATTTGGAAATATCCCTTTTTCAAGGGATATATTAATTACACGCATTAATGGTTTCGAAATAATATCAAACGAACTTTTTACAAGATGCATAGGTATATGATCATAACCAGGTGCTTTTCCGCCTTTAAATGACATAGAGATAATTTTTAGCTCATGTTCAGTAGTAGGTTTAAGGAATATTGTATCACTTATATTTGGTCCAAGGAAATCTCGAAATACACAATTTGTTGGGAGAATCCTGCTTGCCAAGGATGAGCCAATGTTTGTAAAATATTTACAAAATCCATTTGCAATTTCAAGAGGGTCAGTGATCACTGTACCATTTGATTTAAATGACGATGGTAAAGATGACTTCTTGCTTTTAGTATTTATAACCTCGTTTATTAATTTCCAAGTTTCCTTCAAGTCACTTTTTGCTCGATCAAATTTGTTATCATAATAAGTTTTCTTAGCATTTCTAATTAGATGATTTAATTTGTTTTTATACCTTTTGTAATGAAGCTCGCGTTGTAAAGTTGGATTACGCAAGTATTTCTTATGGAGTTTATTCTTTTTTCAAACGGAAACCAATAAACCTTTAGTAATCCAGGGCGTTTTCGGCTTTTTGGAAGGGTGTTTACTTATTTTTAAGGGAAAACAATCCTCAAAATGCTTATTGTATTCTGCCGAGAAAGAGTCAAATAGTTTATTAGGATCTTGACCCACAACAACACTGGTCCAATCCACTAGAGACAAACTAGTTCGAAGTTTGATTAGATTTTGTTCGCTATAGTCTCTATAGGATTTAACTTCTTTTTTATGTGGTACTAATTCAGAACTAAAAAAAGCAAATATAGGTAAATGATCCGACATATCATTAAGAATAATTCCATTCACCGTGTTTTGTGAAGGACCATTTGTGAATATATTATCAATCAGTGTAGCCGAGTGTGAAGTTAATCGCGTAGGTTTATTTATAAGAGGAATAAACATGTAGGAGAACAAAGAATCCATGAATTCTTGAGTGAAAGCATGCGATCATAATGGAATAAATCCAAATTGAAATCGCCCATAATATAGCATTGTTTGTTATCTTTGGAAATAAAGGAAAGAATTTTGTTGAATTCCTCCATAAAGTGAGTTAAATTTTGATTAGGCGAACGGTATATAGTACCGACAATAATGTTTTTCCCATTAGGGTTAACAATTTCAAGGAACAAAGACTCAATTACTTCAGGATTAGAAATTGTGCATTCTTGAATCAATTTGTATTGAAAATGATTTTGTAGATAAAGTCCAACTCCGCCACCTACTTTATTCAGGCGATGATTTGAAATGAAATTATAACCTGAAAAATTTACTAAATCAGAAGTTTCATCATTCAGCCAAGTTTCAGATACTCCGATAATAGAAAACGATTTACGCAAATTTCTGGTCAAGACTTTAAACTTATCAAAATTGCCAATAAGGCTACGACAATTTAGGTGCAACAATGAAAAACCCATATCATCCATTGACTCGTCTATTAAATCGCTAATATCATTTTCAACCATATACCATATACCTCCCACTTCCCGCGATTATTAAGAGGCGATTTTTCTCAATGTCGCGTATTTGCAATGAAAAGTGCAAGTGAAAAGTATTCAAAACCTAAAACCTTTTTGGCGTTCCTCTCAAAATTACTTTGTTTTAGCATTATTTTGCAGTTTACACAGTTAGCAATCTTTTTAAATGTATCTGGCGGTTGCGAATCACAAAATAATAGTTAAATAGCGTCAATCGAAATACAATTATATACTGATACTGATACTGTAGAATTGACGCCATATTAATACAACAATATAAGCACAAGTTGTTATAAATCTGTTCACAAGCTGTCGACAAGTTGTGTTCGCACCGCTTGTTCCTAGTTGTAACAAGTTTGGAACGAGCTGTTCTGTTAACAACTTGTAACAAGCTTGATGGGATTATCAGACTTGTTACAAGGCTGTTCTAACAAGTCTGATACAGTCATGATATAACAAAAATGTTACAAGGTTCTAACAAGTCTGATACAGTCATGATATAACAAGAATGTTACAAGGTTGACCACACAAGGTTGTAGCAATATTGTTATATATCATGACTGTATTGACTTGTTAGAAAAACCTTGCAACAAGTCTGATAATATCAACAAGGTTGTTACAAGTTGTTAATTAACAGCTAGCTTGTTCCAAACTTGTTGACAACTTGGGACAAGCAGTGCGAACACAGACTCGCATGTGTAGTTGCAGAAAAATTGGCCTTTTCACGGATTTTCCCAATGTTATTTAGGCAAAGAAATGAAAGGGTAAAACATTGTCCCGGCCCAAGCCAACAGCACCGTTCCAAGCGGAAGTCCGGAGCGAGGGTACTGAAACATCTACTCTCTTGGAAACCTCTTTGTAAAACGTGGCCAACGTGCCGCACAAATCTATCTTTCTTTTTGAAATCCTAATAACCAAACCGCTCCTAATTTGAAACCAATGTTTATTTCGAAAAGTGATAGGCAAACAGCACAAGATCTCAAAAATAATAATATAAATCTGTCCTTTCCTATGCCTTAGGGGCTGTTTACATGAGCCCGGCTAGCCGGGATGAGACGTTTGCCGGGCTGAAATGCATGCTGACGAAAATTGGCGGGAAAAACTTGTTTACGAGTTAACAGTGTAACGTCTGTCACGGAAGTCGAATTTGTGCTTTATTGGCAAATTTAATCGATTAAAACTACTTTGTCGGCAAGATTAATTGAAGAAATAAAACTTTGTCAAGAAAAATATCAGTTTCTGTCTTTTATTTTTGTTTTAAATGAAGTTTTTGTTCTAGCCCGCGGGTTGCCCGGGCTGGATACTTTACATGGAGAAATTTCATCCCGGCTGACCGGGCGCCCCGTTTGAGTCAAGTGGGATCCCAGCTAAACGGGCTGGCCTGGTTTGTCATGTAAAGTAAAATTGCTTTGTGTTGGAAATTACTATGAAGCCGGGCGCCCCGTTTAAGCGAGCCAGTCCCGCAAACCGGGCTCATGTAAACAGCCCCTAAAAGAGAATTTCTAAAAAAAAACGTTCAAATACAGCGGGGCTAAGTAATGGAATGTACTTCCAGCTGATGGTAGACAGGCTCCGTTCAGTTCTCGATGATCTGCATCTGCGAAATATCAAAATTTTCGCAAACGGTTTTCCTAGCTTGCCTTGTCCTTAGAGAAACTTACCGCCGATAGAACAGTTGACTCCGTCGAATCCTGGAGTACAAAAACATTTCATCTCTCCAGTGAGACAGTCTGTAATGCACGACCCACCGTTTTCACAAATCAGATTATCACATGATAACTAAAAATCATCAGAGACAAAATTAGCGAATGTTTGTTTGTGCCTAATTCATGCGATTGGATATTTGCGTGCGTACATGCGTAAAAATCTCGACAGCTTGTGAACAAAATATGTTCGCATTGCTTGTTCCCATTTTGTTGACAAGTCTGGAACAAGTTGTTATCTTCTTGTAACAAGGTTTATGAGGCCAACAGACTTGCAACGAGTTCTTCTCTTCCAGCAGCTCTGATATCGTCTGCACGTAACAAGTTGTTAACAGGACTACTAGCGCGTAGCAACTTGTTAGGAACAGTCTGTATTAGTCTTGTTGGAACAACATGTAACAAGTCTGTTATCGTCATCAACCTTGTAACAAGGTGATAACAATTTGTTCCAGATTTGTCACAACAGCTGGGAACAAGCAGTACCAACACATCCTGATATCGGCTTCACAGCAAACTTGTTGTTACAACGTGTTTCAGATCTGGAACAACTTAAATGTGCATTTTTACGTGTATATGGGCCATAATACGTTCTATTTCGAGCTGTCCATATTAGAGAGATATCTATTGTTATTATTTACATTTGTTTACAACACATAGTAGCTTTTCAGATAATCTGCTTTTCAAAGGGTGTCCGTATTAGAGAGCTGTATATATTAGAGAGGTGTCCGTATAAGAAAGGAGTCCATATTAGTTAGAGAGGTGTCTGTATTAGTAGGGGTGCACCGGATTTTGAATTTTCAAATCCGGCCGGAACCGGATTTACCGGACTTAGAAAAAAATTCCGGCCCGATTTGAGATAAACCAGTAATGGGGACAATTTGGGATAAATTAGTATTCAAAATGGCGGTTTATGTTTTTTTTACTATTTTTAGTTAGTGTCAGTTTAGATTTTTGATTGTGTTTAAACCTTTTTCAAACATCTTTTTGTTAATAACTTAATATTTTATAATAATATAAGTGTTTTTTAAACTTTAAAGCTTCCAAATTGATGATTTATCCCATTCTTGGTGAATTTTTTAAGGTGAAAACAGAAATTTAAATCCGGCCGGATTTTCTCCAAATCCGGCCGGATGCCGGAAATTTCGTTAAATCCGGCCGGATTTGAAATCCGGTGCACCCCTATGTATTAGAGAGGTGTCTGTATTAGAGAGCTGTCTATATTAGAGAGCTGTCTATATTAGAGAGGTGTCCGTATTAGATACGTATTAGAGAGCTGTCTGCATTAGAGAGGTGTTCTTGTTAGAGAATTGTTCGTATTAGAGATATATTATTAGGACGATGTAGGTATTTAGATAGCCTGCGTGCAGTCCCAGACTCCAGTATTTAGAGGTTCCCGCAAGTACCAGTTTGACAGTCTACATACCTGTACTGTTTCGTAATGAGAGTATCCTGCGCGTGCTGTCAGCGTAACTTCATTCTTTTTCCTATCCAGTAATTCACAGCTATGTAATTCACTGCTTGATTCGTGTTCATAATTGTACGATAGACATTTGTCATGGGCCACGCACTTAAACGCACACAGCGTTAGCGATTTAACTTGCTGGGTTTCGAGAAGCCCTGTATCCATTGAGTAATCTGCGAAAAATATTAATATGATAATAGTTTAATATCCAAGAAAGTGATTACTTAACTAGGCTTAGGCGATAATAAGAACGATCATACTACTGGACCACGAACTGGTCACCTGTCACCAAGTAGTTGGTCCATCGTTTTAGAACTCAAACTTTTGCATTGTTTCAAGCGCCCTTAATGTTGGTTCGGCGAGGCAGTTTTTAAATATGTTAAAATGGTTAGTCGCTTGTCCATGACTGTTTTTGTTATGGTAGGGGGTTTGTCTGTGAATATTAATGACATGACAGGAATTGCTTGTACGTTACCTCTAAATCGAAAATAACAATTCGGACACCGTCAATCGATGAGGAATATCGTTTGTAATCATCGTGTCAAATTTCATGACGATCGGACTGAAAATGAAGGACCCTTAGGCTTTTCTCGAATTTGAGATTAGCGGCGATTGGGGACCAGTTAACTCCTAGTCCAAAAACAATAGATAAATTGGCTAACGTTCGTTTGCCAAAATTATACTGCAAAATTAAGAAAAATATGGGAAAAATTTATAAACGAAGGCTATACGAGATAAAAGATCCCAGAAATCTACTTAAATCATAGGCAACAAATTCTCACCAGAGAGCAAGCTTGAAAGTTCAATGTTTTCATTCGATATTCGATGAAAGCACTTTTCAGAGGCATTCCTACGACTCCTGTATTACATTATAGGTTTGAAACATCACTGCGCATGTCGTGTTAATGTTCGTGTTGGTGTCAAAAATATCATCAATCCTCTGAGCATGTTCCACTTTGAAACCAAAACCTCACGTTCCCCTGGGAACGCGGTTGACGTTGTTGTTACGACGTAATGTGCGGTCAAATGCGAATGGGTTAAGCGAGCGTTTTTGTCGACACGAACGTCACCCGAAAATTGGTATAACTAAGTTTGGCGGCATTTTGCATCATAACGCTCGTGTAAATTTTGCCCAAAATTGGAAAAGAATGAGTGTATAAGCACAAAATAAAGCAATAACAGACACAAAAAAACATGTACAGAAGTCTGGATGGGCAAGATTACGTCAGGATTGAGATTGATTGTAAATGGCATCTTGACTGATTAATTGTTGGCAGACACTTTTTCAAGTTTTAGTCAATTTTTATGAAAATGTCATGTTGCATGTTGCGTGGAAGTTCAAAGTTGTTTGATATGACTCGTATATCATAACTTAATCCATTTACAATGTTTATTTTTAACTTTGTAGTTCAGTTTTCAAAAATCGGTGACATTGCCCTTAGGGACGGACCATTAGAAAAGTGATGGGGAGGGTGGGGAAAAAAACAGAAAAAAAATCCATGCAAACAAAAAAGGTCTGAAAAAAAATACATGCAAACAGACTTGTTTAAAAAAAAAATTACAAACAGAACAACAATAGAACTTTAATTTTAAATGTACACCAGACAAAACTGAACTAAATCCCTGGAATATTCCAGAATATAAATATATCAAAATATATAATATAATAATATGCAATTTCTTTCAATATTAACAGTAACTCTTATGTAGTTTTATTATATACTATCAAAATATTTTCTATTGTATTTAATAATTAATTCTCATTCACACTGCCACTGTCCTCAGTGGCGTAACTACTATGGGCTCGGACCGGGAGAATCCGGGGGCCACCAACTCCAATGGGCCCGCAAATGGGGGGCCCCAGGCTCAGGCTATAGAGCAAAAACACTGGCCAAGGGCCCCTGATATGTTACAATGGCGTTTCCTGACCATCAGAATTCTGTAAAATCTCTCCCCAAAGTCCGGGAAATGGTATTTCAGAGAATTTAGATTCAAAAATTTTCCAGGTGAGCATGCCCTGGACCCCTAGAAAACTTGTCCATATATGGTGCTTCAAGATATAATTCTGCAGTGTGTATTAAAGGGATATTTTTCTGTCAAGAGAACAGTTTCGTTAACATTTGTATAGTTGTACTGGAAAAAAAATTGCATGCGAGAAGACATATTTAAAAAAAAACATGCATACACAGCTGACAACCTGGAAAAAAAATGCAAACAAAAAAAATTTACCCCCCATCACTTTTCTAATGGTCCGTCCCTTAGTAAGCTTGCTATTACCTCTCGTTAGATTAAACGCATCTGATTGGTTAATAGCTGTAGTAAACGCAATTATATATGTCATAACATATTGGCTCTCTCCTCCGCAGAGGCTTCTGTTGGCTATGATTAATATTGAGATACATTTCACTACACTTTACATGGCGGATCTTGGAACACGAGTGGAGAGAGAGACATATTGGCTTGTATTCTAAAAGCTGACTCACACTCAATGAGTGGAGGTTCAATCTGAGCTTCCCTTGAGTGTCAGTGCCGTTTTTGAATAGCTGGAGCCGGGTTAGTGTCGTACCTTTAATACTATGTGACTACTCGCCCTCCAGCTATTCAAAAACTGCACTAACACTCAAGGGGGGCTCATATTGAACCTCCAGTCTTTGAAACGATCACTTAGTAAAGACTACAATAGCCTCTTATCTTTAGCTCGGTAAAAAATCCGAGTCTCTGAGAATTTCCTGTCTGAATAGGCGGTACCCAACAGCTAAAAACCATTGTCGTTGACTACATGATTTGTAACTTCTGGTTGCCAAATGACAAGAGTCATAATTAGGGCTGCAATTGGTACAAATGATTATTCGAACTCAACAAATTGTCAAAGTCAATGTACAATTATTTTTAACAAATTTATTCCAAAAAAGTTATAAGTGATTGGTTGCAAATTGTGAAACTGCACGATGTGAGATTTGTAGGTTAGGCGTACACTGGATCAACTGTATGTAGACATAAGTAGTATATTTGTAGAATTGTAGATTTGTAGTTTTGAAGTGCTGCAGTTTGGTTTACATTTGTACCAAACGTGTAACGATAACTTCAAGTTAAACAACTAGCACTGATTCGTCGTATATATACGTTGCAATATCCCTTTTAAATAGCTTGTACCAATAAGATGTCCTTTCTCTAACGCAATCGCGACTATATATATGCTAACTTACGCTGTCTAGTCTATAGCAACATATGGTACAGCTACTTTCTTTACGTCATATATCAATCAAATGAACTATTAAATTAACTGAAATATAATGAACTTTATTACTAGGGTAAGCGTTTCAAACCTACATGACTAAGTTCCTAATTTTTTTATTTAGAAAACAGCTGTTTTTTGTAAACAGACATATCAATATCACAACTGCCTGATATACATACCAACATCGGTTCGGTTAAAGTTGCCAATATTCTGACATTTGGAACGCATGGGTCCTTTTCCAAGCGAAAATCGTATTTGTAGCGAAACGAAAAGGAATATGATCGGTTTCATTCTTGCATTACAACAGAAAACTATAAGCGTAGACTGAGATTGAAAAACATTCCGCGCTGTACAGGACCTGCAGTTATACTGAATAATTTATCATGTTAATAGAGGTAACGTATACAAACTTTTGTCGCTCTGGTAACGGTCAAAACTACACGCGTAATGTTCGTATGTTTGTCAGAAATAACCACTAATTTCACAGCGTGCTTGAGTTGTTTTACTTGTGGTTAGGGCTGTGGTGTAACAGTACCAGAACAGTCTGACAACAACATGGCTAATTATTCATATAAATAATAGGGCTATTTATACGAGCAAAAATAAGCCACTATACTTAAAGTGCATATGGCATGAAATTTCTTATTTTCTTACATGAAAGAACTGTAGTGTAAAGTATTTTTCAGTTTTTGTTTTTATGGTTTGTTCCCGAGATATTCCAATTTGCTTGATATGTAAATGAGTGTGAATATGTCCTCTAATTTATGGCGTGACATTGGTTGCAAGCTCAACTTACACTGGCTATAAATCTATTAACTCTAAAAACTGTGGATATCAGTTCACGTTTACCAGTGAGTGAAGTTTAAAATTATCATCTTGGATGATAGCAGTGATGTTCAACCATTTTGAAGAGCTTGCAACCAATGTGACGTCATAAATTAGCGGACATATTCACACTCATTTCCATATCAAACAAATTGAAATATCTCAGGAACAAACCATAAAGACAAGAAAATGAAAAATAAGTTACACTACAGCTTAAAGAGTTCTTTCATTCAAGAAAATATGAAATTTCATGTCATATGCACTTTAACTAAACCGCGGTTTAATTAAATATATCGCGAACAACTCACTATAAACAATCAATTTGTTCGCAAGCCGTGGCTAAAATAAGCGCAGGGTTAAAAGTCAGGGATAAAATAAGCGACTTATTTAAAGGCTCTTTTCCACTCATCATATTGAGTCCACATCCTATTTTTGCTCGTATAAATGGCCCTAATGTAACCCGGAACTAATAGTTTTTTGCTTTTAAAAATCGCTGTGACGCACGTGAGATTGGTTGAGAATGCGCGAGTCTCACGTGAGATGCCGCGCAAGACTTGGAACCGACTTAGACCACAGTTTACACTTGCAAATATGTGAACTCACCCGCGGCCCTATTGACCGAACGACACCCGCATTTTGGAATCATCACCCGCGTAAAAAATGGCACTTAAATTCACCCACGGTGATTCACCCGCATTCATTGAAATTCACACGCATCATCAGATGATAATTCTCCATAGGAGATTTCGTAGTAGCGGAGCTATGCTGAACTAGCCTTGTGCTTAAAACATGATCTAAAAGCACAGAAATGACAGAATATATTCTCTATTCTGTGCCAGAACTGATAGAAGATCCATATTTCTCTTGTTTAGTTTCGACCGAACGGTTGCGACTTTACAAAACGTACTTTGCGAAACTTTATTTATTCCCTTTTACGAAACTAAAGGACTTCACATTTGAGGACTTCACATTTAACGTATTTGAAAAAAGAACAGAAATGTTGTTCTTGTTTTGGCTACAAAAGCTGGTTGTTATTGGCAGTTGTTACAGTGTTTCAGTGTATTGGCATCACTCGCAATCTAGGTGGGAGTTTTCCGTAGCGACGTGGAAAAATAAACGCCTATCCGTACCTTTTAGGAACGCTGTTTTCAGAGGAAATATTGCAACAGAGAAATGTTGGTGTTATGTACTCAGGTGAATATGATGTTTGTGATGTTACTCTGAATGTGCATCCACACCGGGCAAGCTGAAAAGTTTGCCTGACCACGGTGGGAATCGAATATGGTTTGGGCACAGACACAGTGCGAGTTGGCATGTAGTTGGCCCGTTCATTAACATTAGATCAGTAAGATCAGTCTCCAACATAATTTTACACTGGCTAGACCACAATGCGCTACGATTCAAAGATCCCGTATCGAAGCGATCCATTTCACTTTCGGAAATTTTAGGTAAGGAATATCTGTTTTCCCGAAGTGGTAACACTGCCGGTCAAATTTAAAATCCAACATGGCCTCTTGTTGTGGTTACGGGATGTCCCAAATTTAGATGATCTTTCTTTGTTGAAACAAGCTCGTTTAGTCATGGAAGAAGATGAAATATTGTTGTCGGAAAAGCAAGAGAAGATGCTCGAAGAGCTTGTAAGTTTGAAATAAGAACCGAAGCAGATTTAGGCAATTGTTTCGCATGATAAGGGCGAGTTTATATTTTGAACATTTATAATGTTGACATGTGTTATAAAATGGCCTTCTTATGTAGATTTTGTTTAGCGGTGAAAGAAAGTACACATTAAACATTAATGTACAAAGATATTATAGTCTTTTTTGTAAATGGCTAATTTACCATTTGATATGTACACTGACTACAGCGTCTTTAGTTTCTTTCTGCTGTGAATATAAAATTTGTTTGAAATATGTCTTTTTAACTTAAAAAAACTAATATGACTAATGCATGAGTGTTTCATGTGTTAGGCCGATGGAAATAAGGTATCAGCTTACTGTAAACCTGAAAAAAATTTCAATGCGGGAATTTTTCATTCATTATTTTCGCACTTTGAAAATCCAAATCCTCACTACTTTGAAAACCTCAGTTTCACATTGGTCGGACAGAATGTCTGGTAGTTTCCTCTCTACATCAGACAATTTCACGAATGGGTCGGACAATGTTTGTGACTGAACGATATTTTAAGGGCTGAGCTTTCAATGAATTTCTCTTCATTTACTTGCAGTGTATCACCAATGGTATAAACTACGACAAGCTCAAAGATGGCAGTGGTAAACGAGTCAAGCGACTTGAGATGTTCTTCTCGGGATTTCCAGAAATTGTCGGCATGTCATATTTTCCCAACCTGGTCATGCTATGCATCATGGGACAGGACACACTCGAGAAGATTGAAGCGCTGGAAGGTCTCGTTCATCTGGAAGAATTGTGGATATGTGAGGCCAGTGTTAAGGTATGTAGATGTCATATACAGGATGGGTAAAAACAGGTAATGCAACTTTAGCATGTTCTTGTGCGTTAGATATGGAGTTTATTGGTAAACTTTTTACACACTCAGTAACAAAATTCAGGCTTTTAGCTGTCCACTGATACCTTTTTTGTATCATAAAGGAAAATGACTGTCTAATTAATACAATGAAAATGAAAGTAATTCTATTCAGACTAACATAAAATTTCATTTCAAGGAAATTTGTGGTCTTGACAATTGTCAGAAGTTGAAAAGACTTTATTTATACGACAATGCAATCTCGAAGATGAGGAATTTGTCAATGTTGAAACAGCTTGAAGTTCTCTGGCTCAATGACAATATAATTAAATCTATTGAGGTACATCTTAATTTTCTTGAAATGTATTTATTATGGAATAAAAAATTATGGAATCGTTCCGCTTATCATTTAATTTATAGGCTATATTTACACTGTACTGTGTATTTTCATAGGAATTATTGCACCGGAGAGACCTTGTTTCGCTTCTGAAAGTTGTACATTTTGTATTGGATAGGTGCTTTTTTGTGCAGCTACGTACGGGAAGCTATCCCATGGGCGTACCGGAAGAAAAAATTAGGGGGGCGGAAAGAAAATTGCCCGACTTTTCGTAAAATTGCCCGACTTTTCATGATTGTGCCCGACTAGTACCAAAAATTTTTCCCGGAAAAATTATTTTGGCGACCTCCAACAAAGATTTGTTGGGTACATATGGTTCAACTATGTTTTAACTTAAATAGAGTACTGTACATGAGAGTATTGTGAAAGCATTCAGAACAGCTAAGGGACCAGTTATTATTTATGGTGGGAGGTGGCATCGAAGAGAAATGTTTTCTTGATAAAAATGTTGCTGATCCAACCATTAAAAAGTAAAAAAAAAATTTCCACCCAACCTCAAATATCAATTAAAAAATAAATACCCATCCCTGCACAAAAACTTTACAAAAGGTTACCATTCAGTTTTCACACATGTCCTTTCCCATTTTTGTGATATGAGTTTGATAACTGCTTGTGCAATTTTCTGCAGTCTAAAGTTTCATGTTGTCTGCACATGTACTTTCTTTGGAGACACCATTTGCCTCTTGACAAATTGGAAAATGATCAAGATAGTGACTCTGATTGATTTATACACATTGTATTGACATATGACTGTTGACATTGCTTTTTAGTCTTCAATATCTGAGTGAGTCATGTTTTGGAAATGACAATAATTTTTTATTACCCAACCCTTTTCTCTTTGGTGCCTCCCCCCTCCCCCACCCAAGGTTGCTTCAGAAATTACTCAGTTATGCCAGTCTCAAAGCAGGGGATTACGTAAGTTAAATTTTATTCTGCCTTTTTTAGGGTCTGGATGGTTTGCTAAATTTAAAAGAGGTCAACCTCTCTAACAACAAAATTTCTCAAATTGGTGGGTAAAAATTGAAGTTGATATGTTTTAGTACAGCATCGTTGAATCAAATTTTTTAATGCATTGTGCTTTTGTTTCTGCAGGAAACTCGCTGGAAAAACTTCCCAAACTTGAAATCCTACATATTTCTGGAAACCAGATACGATCGTTAAAGGTTTAAAAAATTTATGATCAAAGTTTTGTTTTTTGTGGACACGATATTTTTCGTCAAAATTTTCCCCTGTTATTTTGCATCTGTCGAGGACTTCCAGTCTGAGTTTATACTGGTTTTACCTGACTTGGTACAACAGACCCCGTTTTCTCCGCGAGGCGCTCCGGTTTTTAATTTTCGATAGTTATGTTTCTCAAGCGGAAAACAAATTTGAAAAGTATATGTTTAGTGCTTTATCTGTAAGATTTGCTAAAATAAAGAGATTTTAGATGGCCGCCGAAGAGAAAATGATGTCTGAAGTTCAGTACGTTTTGCTGTATAAATATGCATGACGACAATTTTACAGCATCAATTGACAATATTTAACTATTATTTTGTGTTTCTCAACCGCCATTTAAAAAGGTTGCTAACTGTGTAAATTACAAAATAAAGCTAAAACAAAGTAATTTTGAGAGGAACGACAAAAGGATTTTAGGTTTTGAACACTTTCATCGCAAATACGTGTCACTGAAAAAAAATAGCCTCTTAAAACATAGTTGGAACACTCATGCAAAGTTTTATTTTTTAGGATTTGAACAATTTTATTCAAGTACGAAGCTTGCATACGCTGAGTTTAAAAGATCCCGTCTATGGCTCGAATCCCGTAGCCACCGTGTGTAATTACTCCACGTACATTTTCTATCATTTACCGCAAATCAGACGGCTTGATGGATATGATGTCGACAACGACTCACTTAAAAGTTTAGCCACGGTATAATTTTGCAGAACGTTAAGCAACCATAGTTCAAATGGGTGATTCCAGGTATAAACTGAATTTTGATCCAGGCAAGAAGAACGAAATCCAACACCACAGCCAGAAAGAGCGTCTTAGAATGAGTAAAACTGCAAAGGTTGGTTGCTAAATGTTGTAAAATGAGGAAAATATAGCTTTGTGAAGTTCGCAAATTTTGTATATATTTGTATTACGCGCAGTAAAAATAACCACTTCGGATCAAAAATGGTTATTTTTCCCGCGCGTAATGTAAATATATACAAAATTTACGAACTTCACAGGGCTATATTTTCCTCATTTTACAACAATTCGCAACCAAACTTTGCAATTTTACTCATTTGAAGATGCTCTTTCCAGCTGTGGTAACGTATTTCGTTCTTGTCTAGATCAAAATTTCGTCTATAGCTGGAATTAACCATGCATTAATGCTACAATCCTGGCAAAAATTATTGTGGACAGCACGTGCTTTGCCCTATATCACTTCTTGCGAAAACAGCATTTAGCAGCCCCCCCCTGCCTCTTTCAGTTGAAATGCTAATACATTGGTTAAGGTAAAGTTGTGTGAAATATATTATCAAAATCAACATTGCACGGGGTGCGTGGGTTCCAAACATGTCAAGATGCGCATGTGAACATTCATATCTTAGTTTTCAACTAATTGTCCACATAATATTTGCCATGATTGTGCATGTGATTATCAGGGACCCATTTGTTTAGACTTTATGCTCATATATTCAGGGAGGGAACTTTCTTTTTGTGCGGTGAAAACCGGTGTTTAGTTTTGAAAATGTGCAGTAATTAATTCTTGTATTTTTCATTTTAGACGACAGTTAAAAAGAAAAGGATGTACTACAACATGCGTGTTAAGACGTTAGAACGAAACATGAGTAATTTGTTAAGACAAGTCGAAGATGAAAGGAGTGGATTGAAGGAGTCGCCTTGCACAAGAATACGAAATTTAACAAACATTCTTAAAACAGTAAGTGTGTGTGTGTGTGTGTGTGTGTGTGTGTGTGTGTGTGTGTGTGTGTGTGTGTGTGTGTGTGTGTGCATTTCTCGGGTGCAGTAGTTTCATACTTTCATAGTTTCATGAGCATTGAATATATATGTAGTATATATAAAAATGAAGTATAACATGCAGTTTGCAGTATACTTTGTTACTGTGGCTATTAATATGCAATTCATCTGATGACGTCATATCCAGCGCTTCAAAAGCGAAAAAGTCGATGAAGTAGATAGAGGTTTTTTACTATATTAAATTTCTCAGAATGACCCAAATATTACCCATACCAGAGTCTTATTTGGGATTAGTGGCACTTTACAGATCTGGTCAAAACAGTTGATGAGAGTTGGCGAGCGAGAATTTGCATGAGTCTTTTCACAACAGGCAATTCCAGCTTTTAGTTTATGCGTGCAGGGGGCGATGGGAAGTAAACTATCATATTGCTGATTATGCTGAAAAAAATAAAAATGGTGGCCGTGTAAACACGGAGTGATAGCTTATACTTGTAAATTTGTAAATATTGAAATATTTCGGTTGTTTCCGCAGTTTTTATTCAAATTTTTCAGCATAACCAGCAATATGATACCTTACTTCCCGTCACCACAGAATAAAGATCAGTACCAGAAGGGCCACTCAGCGGTGCAACGTGTCACCATTTTTCTATGCAAAAATGTGCAATTGACTGGCCAGAAGGCGGGGCCTCCAGCCAATACAGCGCGTTTATTGGCCAGAAAATGTAATCGACTGGCTAGGAAGATGGCGGCCAGGGTGCCCTTCTGTGTGCCTTATTCTGTGCCGTCACCCCCTGCGCGCAACTCTTAGCGCATTTTAACAATCATACAGTGCCCATTATCCATCAAAACATTAAAACATCACGGATCACTTTTACCAATTTCAACAACTACAGTAAATTTTACAAAGAAATTCTGTATGTTGTAAGTAGCAACACCTTATTTTATGAACCTACATGCACGACCAAAAATAAATAATGAAGCCGCGTTCATTTCATCTGGCCGTGTTTTTACATTTTTGACCGCGATAACACGGCCAACACGACCTTCTAGCCAAGACCCTGCTTTAAGACATATTAAAGTCGACTTGTATTTATGTTAGCTTGAACGGGAATTTGAAAGCGCATCGCCTTCGCAATCAAGTGAGAGGAATGAAGTCTCCTCAGGGAATTATAATGACACTGAGATAGAACAAGAAAGTTATAAACAACTGATCGAAGCCAAAGTGGAAAACGTCAGAGATCGTGTACGCGAGTTGGAATCTATTTGCGATGAGTGAGTATTGTCCGGACTCTACCAGTCTACCATTAAATCATGCTGGGTTTCTGGTGTGCTAACATGCACTGATTTACACAAATCCAGTGATTTGTTGGAGTCTAGGGATGACAGTTTAGAACTGTTAGAGCTATCTACTATAAATTAAAGTGGTTACAGTTAAAACAGCAGCGATTGATACACCGGGTGGAAAGCGTAATTTAAAAATGAAAATTAAAGCCCAGCAAATGACTTTCAGACAAGACATAACAAAAATATAAAATTTATTGGCTAACGTTTCGTTGTATTGTTTCTGAAGATGTTGTGAACAATACAACGAAACGTTAGCCAATAAATTTTATATTTTTGTTATGTCTTGTCTGAAAGTCATTTGCTGGTTACAGTTAAATTTAGTTTTATTTCCAACATTGATTCTGCTTTTTTTGGCTGCTGCTATTTCTGCAGACGTCTATTCCTAAAACGTTTTTATATCAGACATGAAATAAAATTGGAATCTTAACTTGTTGAGTAGTGTGACACAAGTTTTTAACAACGGAAAATGCGTGGGAGCGACGTTCCTAAAATGTACGAAAATGAAATGTACGAACTTCTCAATGAGATATTTATTTTTAGAATTGATCGGTGTTACGTTGAAAGTCGAGAACAAGTTGAAAATATTTCTCAGTCGACAATCAAGAGATTGCTGCTTGAACTTGAGACTGGAGGAAATGTCAGGTTTGAAGATGGAAATACTAATGATGTCTGGTGAGTATGGCTGGTTTGTTAGATCTAGAACAATCAATCAGTCAATTGTTTAATCACAATCAATCAATTAATCAACCAATTAATTAATCACAATCAATCACTTAATTAAATTAATTAATTAATTAATCACACTTAATCAACCAACTAATTAATTAGTCAACCAACTCAATTAATGAATTAGTCACACTTAATAAATTAATCAATCAATCAATTAATTAATTAATCAACTTACTAATTAATTAATCAACCAACTAATTAATCAATTAACCAACTAATTAGCCAATTAACCAACTAATTAGCCAATCAATCAATTACATAATTAATCAATATGTTTGACAGTCCGTTAATTCTTTTCCTGATCCATTCAAATACAAGTAACAATTTCTATACGTAATAAATCAAACCTTCAACTTGTAATATATCAATCAGTCAGTCTTGTAATCAATCATTTAATTAATCGATTCAACAATAAATCATTTAAATTATGGCTATTCACTGCGTTAATTGATCAGTCGTCAAGCAGTGAATCAATCAATCAATTATTTACATAATATCTCACCAGGTATACGTCATGTCATGATTTAGTCCTGTCCCGATTCTGTGCCAGCGACTTCAAGGTAGGTTTGACTTACTGATTTTTCAGACACTGACCACGAACCGACCTGACCACGTAGCTCAGTTGGCAGAGCATTGGGCTAGTATTCCAAAGGTCGTAGGTTCGATTCCCACCGTGGACAGGGATATTTTTCAAGCATGCCCGGTGTGGATATACACTCAGAATAACATCACAAGCATCAGAGTAAACTAAAGTTAAACTAAACTAACTTTTTACTGGATACATGATTTATCAGGTCGCAACAGTTCAGTTCATGTTCTATTATTGTGTTGAATCAAACGAGGAAACTGGAGTTCCCGGACGAAACGTGCAGTGTTTACTAGTATCAAACTAAAAGCACTCTGCTTACATGCGATTACTAATCAGCATGCAATTCTTTTTCAAGGCTTATGACATCACTGGCATTAAAATTCACCGCATCACTCGCGTCCATAATCGTGTACTTCGTGTTGCATTTGATGAAAAGGTTTCTACATTTCTGGCAAAGAGCGAGGAGGCAGATTGCGCTGACCAGTAAGTTTTTAATTGTATTTGTTTGCTTGCTTGCTTGTTTGTTTGTTTGTTTGTTTGTTTGTTTGTTTGTTTGTTTGTTTGTTTGTTTGTTTGTTTGTTTGTTTGTTTGTTTGTTTGTTTGTTTTGTTTGTTTGTTTGTTTGTTTGTTTGTTTGTTTGTTTGTTTGTTTGTTTGTTTGTTTGTTTGTTTGTTTGTTTGTTTGTTTGTTTGTTTGTTTGTTTGTTTGTTTGTTTGTTTGTTTGTTTGTTTGTTTGTTTGTTTGCACACATTCTGTGTATTTGTGGGATTGAAGTGTTCCCAATGGTCAACTTCAAGCCCATAGACTCAGGTTATATATTGTAAATGTAATCAGTCGAATCGTAAGAACTGTCCAAGGGGATCACAACCCCTTGGTTTGGGGGTAATGTCTTAGGGGGTCGCTACCCCTTTGCATTCAGCCTCTCCTAGCGGGTCTTATATACCCCCGCGGGATGAAAACATAAGGCTTGAGGAGTCTTTGGGTTGACCAGAGTTTAAGAGTATAATGTTATAATGCATGATTCCAGATATAGACGAAATTTTGATCTAGACGAGAAGAACGAAATCCACTACCACAGCTGGAAAGAGCATCTTAATTAAAATGAGTAAAATTGCAAAGTTTTATAACAAACGTACTTGCAGGGAGGTGAGTCCGGGATTGGACGCACCGAGGGTGGCTGGAAGTTTCCCGAACTTACCGAGCGAAGCGAGGTGAGTTCGGGAAACTTCCAGCCACCCGAGGTGCGTCCAATCCCGGACTCACCGAACCTGCAAGTACGTTTGGTTTTTTTTACACCGAGCCATACACACATTTGTAGCTCTTCGCGATATATTCGTCGTCTCGTCGATGTTTTGTGAACATTTTCCCGGCCAAAAAAATCACTGGGCAAGAAAATACTTCTTTATCTACGTCTACATTACCTTTACTGCATTTTTTTCTTTGGTTTTTCTTCAGTCTCAGTATGTTAGTCACCGAAAAAGTTCTTTAAAGTTTAGGTTTATCGGCTAAATCTTGTCCGCCATATTTGTTATTGTTATTGCAACGTAAGCAGTTTAGCGGGTGAGTTCGGGCGAAAAGCAGGTGAGCTCGGCAAAAAGCAGGTGAGCTCGACGACAAGCTCATTTGCTCTAAACCAATCAGAAAGCCGCTTTTAACACAGGTATGGGATAAGGTTGCGAGTTGTTGTAAAATGAGGAAAATATAGCCCTGTGAAGTTCGCAAATTTTGTATATATTTGCATTACGCGCAGGAAAAATAACCATTTCTCATTCTGAGCCAAAAGTGATTATTTTTCCGCGCGTAATATACAAATATATACAAAAGTTGCGAACTTCACAGGGCTATATTTTCTTCATCTTACAACATTTCGCAACCAATCTTTGCCGTTTTAACTCATTCTGACACGCTCTTCCTAGCTGTGGTGTTGCATGGATCTCGTTCTTCTTGCCTTGATCAAAATTTGGTCTATAGCTGGAATGACCCATTGGTTCACTTCACCCTGACTCCATTCTCCCACAATAATTTAGCGTGTGTTAGTTTATTTCCGGGTGTTTCTTCACATATAACGGGCTTGGATCATTATTGATTTAGAAAGGACATGTACGCAAGTTCCATCGAATATCTCTTCACATCTTGGACGCCGACGTTAAACCTCAAAGATGGATTTCTTCGACTGTTAGAAACAGGTTGCCAGGATATAGCGGAGAATGGGGTGCGTATAATGGAAACCCTACGAACCTATCAATGTTTTAAAATCACTGGTAGATATTACGCGCGGTAAAAATAACCTCTTTCGGCTCAAAAATGGTTATTTTTCCCGCGGGTAATGCAAATATACACAAAATTTGCGAACTTTACAGGGCTATATTTTCTTCATTTTACAACATTTAGCAACCAATCTTTGCAGTTTTTGCTCTTTCCAGCTATGATAATGGATTTCGTTCTCCTTGTCTAGATCAACATTTCGTTTAATCCCAATACGTACTAACAATAAAACTCCTAATAAATAATTATCCTATACATGCAACTGATCGATATGCATTTACAATGCGTTCTGCATAATTATGTTTCTAGGAAGGTGAAGTACGTCTTTCAAACAACGTATTCAACAGTGACTGCAAGCGACTAGAGTTTTTAAAACAACAAGCTGAAGAGCAAGGAGACCTTTGCCCTTATAGACATGGTATAGTGCTCGTACTTTGTACATTTCTCTCAGCCTTTCCAATAAAGCCCTCGTCAAACGAAGATGAGAGGAGAACCTTTTGTATGCTACGTAACACTCAAAACTGATGAATGCTTTTCCACTTGAAAAGCATGTTTTGTGTTTTATCTGTAAAATAATGCTAAAATGAAGAGATTTTTAGATTTGGTACGCCAAAGAGAAAATTATATCTGAAGTTCAGTAAGTTTTGCTTGTATTGCTGTAAAAATATGGCGTCAATTTCACAGCATCAATGATAATTGCATGTAAAATGACAAAATTTAAATATTATTTTGTGTTTCTCAACCGCCAGATACATTGAGTAGCTCGATACATTTAAAAAGGTTGCGAACTGTGTAAACTACAAAATAAAGCTAAAACAACAAGTAATTCTGAGAGGAACGCCAAAAAGGTTTTAGGTTTTGAAAACTTTGTATCCATGCAGAAATGATTATTAGGTTTCTTTTAAAAATAAGTGTAAACCTTTATAATTTTGTTTCATTACTGAAAAAATACTTTCAATTCCAGGTCAACTTGTCATTGCTAAGGTGTTTGTTGGCGATACGGAGCTGGCAAAGAAAGACGAAAGGTTTGAATATTTTTCTTTTTGAAGGCAAATTGCAATATAAATTTTTATTCTCTCCTTTGAAAGAACTTTTGAAACTATATATTACCTTCTTTTATCGATTTCTCATATCTTGCTTAGTTCTTGAAATATTTTCACTTGAAGTAATGAGATGTCCGCCATTTTGGATAAATTTTTATCTAATTAATGGTAGTGTTGGTGACGTCACAACAGGGATTAACCATATAAAAGTATTCGTTGCTGACCAAATATTGATTGGTAGATGTTTTAAAGGTTTTGAGTGATCTTGATATTTCGAAGGGTAAGACAGAGTATAGTTTTGAGTGCTAAATGACTAGTGGTTGTCTAGATAAAAATATTGCGTGACCTCTGTTGTGACGTGACCATTGAACTATAAATAAACTGGAAGGCTAACTCAGGGGGGGAAATTGAAGCCAGTGCATTTTAGTTTTTCTGAGTTATGAGCAGAAATACTCAACACTGAACGTTGGGCTATATATCAAATTGAAGCTATTGAAAAACGCTATTTGGTGTAGAAATTTCAAGACTTTAGCTAAAAGGGAAATATTGAAAAACTACAAACATAATTACCGATAATCTTGCCGTTTTGCAGTTGTTTTTGTATTTTTTAAATATTTTTCTTTTCGCTGAAGTCTTGAAATTTCCACACCGAATAGCAATTTTCAATAGCTTCAATTTGATATATAGCCCGACGTTTGGGGTCAAGTATTTCTGCTCATAACTCAGAAAAACTATTTTGGCTTCATCAAATCATAGGCCTTTATCATAGCAGTTAGCCTTCCAGTTTATTTATAGTTCAATGGACGTGACATGCATATCTACGAAAATTCAAGATGGCGGACATTTCATTCCTTTCGATCAAAATATTTGTAGAAGTAAGCAAGATATGAAAAAACGGTAAAAGAGTATTATATATAGTCTTAAAAGTTCTTTCAAATGAGAAAATAAAAAAAAATATATTGCCATTTCCCTTTAATCTCTTTTCTGTTGTTGAAAAATAATGTGTGGTTATAATGATTATCTATTTTTACAAAGCTTTTGATTTTTCACCCTCTAGTAAGTCGCCTTTTAATCGCCCCGAAGCTGACTCTACTCCAGGTCCCTGTACCGTGAACGACAAGACCGTTGACTACGAATTCCGGATGTTCACGAAAATTTCCGATCCTTCATGCGACTGCCGTACGAAGCAAAGCGATTGGATGGTCTATGACGGTGATCTTGTCTTGCCTGAATATGTTGTTGACTTCGAGTATCTCACCAAGGTATGACGCAACCAGTGATGCCTCGATAGACCTTTATCACGCTTTTTGAATCGATTTGAAATTTGATGTTAACACTCTATTAATAGCAGAAATGAAAAGAGCAGTTCAAAATTAGTAAATGCGCAAAATTTGGAGGCTATGTTTTTAAAATTGTGCCACTATCACTGTTTCAAAAAATATATAAAATATATTTTTATTGAATGAAATTTTTTTTAAATGAAAACTTTTTTGCTGTCGATGCAAGTGTTGATAAAATATTGCATGAATTCATTTCCTCAAGTTGATCAATTCATACGAATTCAAATTTCTTTTTACTTCCTGTGCGTTTCCTATTGGTCAATCGGTTCTGAAACTAAATCTAATTGGCTCATTTGAAAGTAACAGGAAGTTGATCAATTTTCTATCAAATGAATTGATCAACTTGAGGAAAGGAATTGGTGCAATATTTTATCAACACTTCCATTGCATCGACAGTAATGAAAAATATTTTTATTTGCATTGAAGATGAAGCCGTTGTCGCCGCTAATTTGTTACTATGGTATGACGTCATGTGACTCTGGGAATATTCCTAATGATGACGTCATGGATCCAGATTCCGATATATTGGATATGGAGCCTCTGGTGCAACCCAAACCACGGTAGGTGAAAGTGTGACTACCCCAAATATCATATAATTTGGGTCATTTCAAGAGAAATGTACTGTATTTAACAAATATAAAACATTTTCTGGGTTGATATACAGTTATATCAACACGAGTGGAAATTTGGAAAACGAGAAATTGTGTGGAAACACGACGCCCCATAGGGCGAAGTGTTATCACGCAATTTCGTTATATCAATACGGAAAAAATGTTTTATATATAATTTGCACAAAGAAATATAAAGAAAGAAACTTTCCGTGTTGACATTGAGTTATTGAGTTAGCCAATCAGCGTTCAGAATTTACAAATGCTGTATTATAAATTGAGATAGTATTCTTGTTTTTTAAGATTACTGCAGTTAACGGAAGATATTTTATTAAAACATTGTTCGGTTGAATCCACGAAGAACATAACTACATTGAACCTCCATGACTGTGGTCTCACTCGACTAAAAAACATCAACCACCTGGCGAATCTCAGGAAGCTGATTGTCTCATTCAACTGTTTGACCAAACTGGACGACGTCACAAGCATGGTATGTAACTGACTAATTGTAAAATTTTCCCTAAGGGTATAAGAACTGAGCGGAACTCCGAATAGTTTCTTTCATGGATAATAAAATAAATGGATAGGAAACTAGCTGACGTGACCTAATGTTTTCAATGGGCTGATGGCGTGTTTGGATGCCTCAACCTAGTTGCAAACCAAATTCTCAAAAACGGCATGTTTAGCAATAATACAGCTAAACATTTTAGTCCAAGAGCAAATAAATATAACCACGCCATTCTACGATGAAAACTCTAAGTATTCCCAGTCAATTTTAGCAAATATTTCAAGCACTAAACAGTGAAAACTACATCGCAAATTTCGTTAGAATTTGTGACGCCAATTTCGTAGCTACAAATGTAAAAAAATACAAAACAAAGACGAAAAACATTTACCTTGAATACTTTGTCGTGGCTTAGGCACGTTTTTAAAACAATTAGACCAGTTTACGCTTCAAGATCACCCTTTTAAGGTGGAAAATATAGCAAAACAACAAAAATGCCGAGAACTTTGGTAATATTCGCAATACGCGTGACGTCACGTTTTTCAACAAGGTTGCGGCCAATGACGTCAGAAGTTTCCTATCCAGTTATTTTATTATCCATGGTTTCTTTGAAGCCGAGTATATTTTGAAGTAATCTCTAAGATGGAAGCGTTGTGCGTTTTTACAAGAATTTTGAAGAAAGCCTTGATCATACACTCGTAAAAATCTCACATCTTGTAGCAAGTCTGCCAACAAGCCGTCAACAAGTTGTGTTCGCACTGCTTGTCAACAAATTTGGACCAAGCTGTTAACAACTTGTAACAACCTTGTTGATATTATCAGACTTGTTGCAAGTTGTTCCAACAAGACCGATACAGTCATGATATGATAATATGCGCCCATAAGGACAATTTTGTAAAATGTGATTGGCTGACACACATTTTCCGTGAGAAACTTTTAACAAGGCCAAAAAAAAATATGTGGGTTTCCGGTTTCTTCCTATAAAAACTTAGGTAGGGTAGGTCGGTTTTAACTTTTTTTTTTAACTTTTTTTTTAATTTTCCGAATAAGCGGACGCCATTTTGTTTAGTCAGTGCTTCCACATTCAAAGATATAATTCCCTAATATTTCCTCAAATTTCAATTTTCCACAAATTTTTTCCTCTAAGTGGAAACACTTACAAGCATGATCTAATAAAAAAGTTTAGGGTTGGGATTTCGACGTCCAAAAGCTAGGTAGGGTCGGGAAACCGGAAACCCACATATTTTTTTTTTGGCCCAATGATATTTTCAGAAAATGTTCTGTCCGTGGAAAATTTTCTTGAGTGGAAATAGGCCTTTCATCTCTGAAATGATCAGTATATACATTTTCTACATTTCAGCCTAGTCTTAGTTCACTGGACGCAAGTTTCAATTGCTTAACAACGCTGGATGGATTAAAGGTACTGTGATAGTCTTTTTGCTTTAATTCTATATCCAACTTGATTGATATAACTTCTTTCTTTAATCCTTGGCAAGTTTGTATTGCTTGTGTGTACCGACAAAAACTTGATATTTTTCCTTGCCAGTGAGTCTTGTTCCAAAGCTAGTCATGTTTAGTCATGTCAGCTTTTGGACTAGGAAAATTTGTTCGTTTGTACGGCAGAAAACTTGGCAATTGTACAAGAAATACTTCTATGGTTTTGGCATTAGCAAGGTCGGCCATGACGTGAAATTTAACCATAGAAGGATTTAACAAGTATAAAACATTTTCCGTGTTGATATACAGTTTTATTATATGGACAATGGTGTTTTACTGGAAACTAAAACACTCGTAGAACTCATACGTCACAACATCCGGGGCCAGGTGCGCGTATTTTCCGTATTTCACCCCTGGTAGTGACATACGAAGTTTTGAAAATTTCCCGCCATTTTCACTGTTGTTGTTTTGAAAATACAAATGGTCTTTGGTCGGTATTTTAAACGAAATTAACGTTGGAAATAAAACGAAAACATTTAAAAGACATCTTGAGATAAGTAAAATTTATTCTAGTTTTATGTTTGCAGTATAATTTTAAAAAATATCGCTTTTATACTGGTCTTTCGCGTTCTTATTTACATGTCGTCTTTGTGTGTATTTTTGTCACTCTGAGTAAATCCATATAATAAACAGAACATTAAACGGTTGCGAGAAGATATGGATTTATGTTCTCGTGTCAAAAACAATATCTCACTCGTTCGCTGCGCTCACTCGTGAGATATTGTTTTTGCCACTCGAACATAAAATCCATATCTCTTCGCAACCGTCTAATATCCTATATTTATTATATGGCTTTGCAGAATCCTGGATTCTGATTGGTCAACGTGCGCTCCGTAAAATGCGTATTCGGACCGTGGTCCGTATTTTTTCGTATCCGGACCGGTTTCCCGTTATGTCAATTTGACAGGCTCGAATTTGAAACGTTTTTACACGTTCATAAGGTCGTATATGTGAAGAAAAAGTATCCTTGGATCATTTTTAAGAATAAGAAGTCTCGGAAATATTAATAAGTACTTGTACCAACACAAATTTCATCGAAAAAGCTAAGAAAACAAGCCGTTTGAACTCTTACTGGCAACCGTACGTTTTGGCGGGAAAATTTTTGATTTGTTTACTTGTTTCAAAAAATAAATAAAGATGAATTTAGCGTCTTTAATAGTCTTTAATACCATATTCTAAACAAATATCATATAAACTGGGTTTATAAACATTTTTTCTTGTAGTTCTAAAGCGACTGTTAAACATGCTTTTCCGTAAACAATATTCGGTGACGAAACCAAATCTAAACGAAGTCGACGAAAACTAGCAAATAAAACATAGCTCAAAAATACCTTTATAGCCGCTCAAACAAATATATGAAAATCAGAAAATGTGTTTAAGGAGCCATATAATAAACGGTTTATTAATCTTGTTTTGCATCGGTCTGAACGGGAAAGTATTTGGCTTCGGTTTATCCGCACAGACCTCGCTCTCGGTTAAAAAGCCTTTAATATCAACACGAGTAGTGGAAATTGGGAAAACGAGAAATTGTGTGGAAACACGACGCCCCAAGGGCGCGGAGTGTTTTCACACAAGTTTTTCCAATTTCCACGAGTGTTGATATAACTGTATATCAATACGGAAAAAGGTTTATATTTGTTTTATAATATAGCACAGAGAAATATAAAGAAAGAAATTTTCCGACGTTTCCGTGTTGACATTGAGTTATATCAACACGGCTCTTAGCCAATCAGCGTTCAGAATTTACAAATGCTCTATTATAAAAATGTTTAACAACATTGCGTGCACATGAGCAACAAAACTTGCGGAGGTAAACTTGTCAAGGAAAACTTGTTGACCGTAAACACGAGAAAGTAAACTTGTCAAGGGAACTTGTCAAGGGACATTTGTGAAGGAAAACTTGGCACTCTTCTGTACGGTGTTTATTTTTTCTCTTAGGCATGTCCCGTTTTGACAGGCCTGGATGTAAGTTGGAATAACTTGCAGCACATACGGGAAGAAATCGGCACGATTCGGAAACACGTGACAAGCCTGGCGTCATTAAATTCACGCCACAATCCTTGGCACAGGGTAAGGCATTTCGTATGTATACACATGCAAAAGTCTCACATCTTGTAGCAAGTTTGCCAACAACTTGTCAACAAGTTGTCTTCGCACTGCTTGTCCCAAGTTGTCAACACGTTTGGAACAAACTGTTTAACAACTTGTAACAACCTTGTTGATATTATCAGACTTGTTGCAAGGTTGTTCCAACAAGTCCGATACAGTCAGGATATAACAATAGTGTTACAACCTTGTGTCATCAACCTTGTAACATTCTTGTTATATCATGACTGTATCAGACTTGTTAGAACAACCTTGGGAAAAACAATAGGGTATAAGGACTGAGCGGAACTCCGAGTACGCACTCAAAAATCTCACATCCTGTAGCAAGTCTGCCAACAAGCCGTCAACAAGTTGTGTTCGCACTGCTTGTCCCAAGTTGTCAACAAGTTTGGAGCAAGCTGTTAACAACTTGTAACAACCTTGTTGATATACTTAGACTTGTTGCAAGGTTGTTCCAACAAATCCGATACAGTCATGATGTAACAATATTGTTACACCTTGTAACATTCTTGTTATATCATGACTGTATCAGACTTGTTAGAACAACCTTGTAACATTCTTGTTATATCATGATTGTATCAGACTTGTTAGAACAACCTTGTAACATTCTTGTTATATCATGACTGTATCAGACTTGTTAGAACAACCTTGTAACATTCTTGTTATATCATGACTGTATCAGACTTGTTAGAATAACCTTGTAACATTCTTGTTATATCATGACTGTATCAGACTTGTTAGAACAACCTTGTAACCAGTCTGATGATGCCATTAAGCTTGTTACAAGTTGTTAACAGCTTGTTCCAAACTTGTTAACAACAACTAGGAACAGGCATGAGTGCGAACATAACTTGTTGACGGCTTGTGAACAAATTGTAACAACTTGCGCGTGTTTACCTGTGTACCATAACATAGTCCGTCAAGATTAGCAAGGTTACTGTCAATCCGATATCAGAATGTGTTCTCACCTCTTGTTCCCAGTTGTTGTGGCAAATCTGGAACAAGTTGTTATCACCTTGTTACAAGGTTGATTGCGGTAACAGACTTGTTACAATTTGTTTCAACAAAACTAACACAGGCTGTTCGTAACAAGTTGCTGCGAGCTTGTTGTCATCAACTTGTTAACAAATTGTTACGTGCAGACGATATCAGACTTGTTGGAACAACTTGTTTGCGAGTCTTTTAGCCTCATCAACCTTGTTACAAAATGGTAACAACTTGTTCCACACATGTCAACAACTGGGAACAAGCAGTGCGAACACATCTTGTTGACAAACTGTGAGATATTATGATTTTGATCGCATTATAATTTTCTATCCTTCAGGCTGACAACTACCGCACTTATACCATCGGTCGTTTACGAACACTCCAAGTCCTAGATGGTCAGTTTATCACTGAACAAGAACATGCCTTAGCATTACGGCAAGCTGCTGCCTCTAGAATCACATCGTTCACAATCTTAGCACATTCCCGAACTGACGACGAGAGATTACGATCGTTAAGCCTCGCGTCGACAGCGACAGTTCTGTGGAAATATAGCAAGAATAAACCAATGGTGTTGGACGAAGACGATACGAACTGGATGAAAAATGTAAGTGTGACGTAATATTCTTTGTTTGCAATGACGTAATTTTGGGATTTCAGTTGACGGGCAGGAAAAACAAAAAACAGCTATTTTAATATATTGATCGAGTTTAGAGACAGTTTAAGACTCCAAAGATGAGTCTATGAAAAAAAAGTAAATTCCCGTAAAGAACTTATTAAAATTAGTAAAATTGCAAAATTTGGTTACGAAATGTTGTAAAATACGGAAAATATAGCCTTGCGAAGTTTGCATATTTTCAGTATGTTTGTATCACGTGCGGAAATTGTTACCATTTTTGAGCTGAAAATGGTAACTATTTCCGCACGTAATACAAACATACTGAATATTTGCAAACTTTGCAACGCTATATTTTCCAAGCTTTACAACATTTCGTAACCAAATTTTGCAATTTTACTAATTTCATTATGTTCTTTTTAGCTGTGGTGTTTGATTCTCTTCTCTTTACTTAGATTAAAATTTAGTCTAACATGCAAGTTGTCCATTACCGTTCAGCTTTTCTTGCTACAACCATTCTGATAGGAGAAAAATCGTCCACAAGTTGTTTGATTGCCCGTCATTTGGATGAAAAGTCACGTGATTGCAAACAAAGAATAGAAACATCAGACCTAGGAAACATATTTCTCTTGTTTGGCAGCAAAATCCAAAAATAGAAATTTCTTGTCTAACTCAAATATAAAACTTCTTGTATATGACATGTAGATTTTAAAATAGAAAGTTAGGAAACTTGATGCAGGCATGCAGTAATTGACCTCAGTATCTATGTATTGTATTTTCGCTAGAGCAACCAATAGCTACCTTTTCATTTAACCATTTAACAATTATTCGCCGAAGACGAGGTGATTATCGGGGAATGTTCACCGAGACGAAGTCGATGTGAGTATTCACCGATAATCACCAAGCGCATTTTTTCAGGTTACAACTTTGCATTTGGATGGTCAAGGAATTTCGAAACTCTCCAACTTGGAGAAACTGACTCGTCTGAGATGGGCATCATTTAGTGATAATAATATCAACAAAATCGAGGTAAAACACCGTTGCATGTGTAGTTGCTTTCCACCTTTTTGACTCATTTGACTCATAAATTCAATTTATTTTTTACTTCAAGGGACTAGAGACTTGCACGATGCTCGAAGAACTGAACTTGTCCAGAAACTGTATATCGAAGATTGACGGTAAGACAATTGAAAGATTACTATAGGACCCATGGGTGCTGAACCTCGCTGGCCTCAGATCCATTAGTCAAACTAGAGGACACTAAATAAGAGTTGAGTTTTAGGGTGGTGCTGGACTTCTCTAGGGGGTGCAATACACCACTAGGTGGGGTTGCGCTCCCTCCCACCCTACACCTCCACGGTAGATCCGCCTATGAGTGATGACCTATAACTTGTGACCTATAACTTTCTATCAGCTCTTGTTCCAAAGTTGTGATTTTTTATCTATATAGGGTTATCGAAACTAACAAATCTAAAGCGACTTGATATTGCTTATAACGATATCACATCACTAGAAGTCAACACTATGGAAAATTTAATTCACTTAGAATATTTATCGGTTGAAAATAACTCCATTGTTTCAATACAAGGATTGAAGGCAAGTCAAACGTTGTACGTTTTGCACTACAAGAAAGTTTATTGTTGTAAAATTACAACATTCTTTCTGATTATTTTTCAGAAATGTGGTTCCCTCCAAGAACTTTTCGCTGGCAATAACCAAGTGTCGAATACACGAGAAATATTTTATTTGAAGGTAAAAACTACTGTTGTTGTAAAAAAGTGATTTCGAAGAAAAAATGACAACAAGATTTCATTTCCTTCAGGGATTGCAGAATCTAGATATTCTGGACTTGAGTGGTAACCAAATGGCATCATCGAACGAAAATCATCGCTTGTTTGTGGTTTATCATCTGTCATTTCTTAAAGCTTTGAATGGCATTGCTGTGGTAAGACTCTAGACTTTACGAATTTACATCAAGCTCAGTTGGTTAGAGTGCTGCACAGGAATCACAGGGCCGCAGGTTTGATTCCTGCCCTCTGGCCTATAGTTGCATTTTTCGCAACTGTTCCTGCATGGTTAGGTCTAAAATTGAATCTACAAAAAATTTCCATCGCTCTGAATTTCCATGTGCAAAAACCTTTCAACTTTTATTTCTAATTTAAAGATAAAATGCAGAGCCCAGCAAATAACTTTAAAATCAAACATAATAAAAGTAAAAATTTTAACATTTCGTTGTTTACAATTTATACAATACAACATCTTCAGGGCAATCCAAATGAATTTACAGGGTATGGTATATATATTTACAAAATAATGGTTTAATATTACAAAACAGTTACTTAGTTTGAAAGAACAAATGAATAGAAAGAAAGGAAAACAACTTATCAGTAACTAGTTAATTAGTAAAGATTAATGTTAAGTGCATGGTTAGTATAGTTATGGTTAATACATAACTAAAATAACTCAAGAGGGGTAGATCGATCTAATATTAACATTAAGGACAGGGTTAAGTTGAGAAATTAATAGGACCACTATCCAAATTCAGTTGGGATACCGACAAAAAACTCTCGGACCAAAACCCTGCCACAAAATCTCCGATGACAAACTTCCTTATGGCAGTTGTCCCCGACGATATGCCCAGACAGGGCGTCTGAGATTTTGTTTCACATTGTTTAAATTTCCCTCTTTCAGACTTCAGCAGAACGTTCTTGTGCAAAGGAAACTCTGGGAGGAAGGTAATAAACTTATACTAAACTTAAAAACCTCTGATAAGGGGAGACCTAAAAGAAAGGCCCATAGAGAGATGCTGCATATTTGAAGGAGGGGAGAGGGAGGCAGGGAGAGGGTTAAGCCTGGTTCACACTAGCAGTCCTATCGGTGATCTTTCTTCTCCTGGACTGTTTCTTACTGTACCTCGTCGTGATGCATATCTACATTGAAGCTACATTGGAGATTGCCCCACTTCCCCCTCCCTACCAGAAGATTGCCCCACTCCCCCTCCCCCTCTTACTACACCTCGTCGTGATGCATATCTACATTGAAGCCACATTGAAGATTGCCCCACTCCATGCTACATTGAAGATTGCCCCACTTCCCCCTCCCTACCAGAAGATTGCCCCACTCCCCCTCCCCCTCTTACTGTACCTCGTAATGCATGTCTACATTGAAGCTACATTGAAGATTGCCCCACTCCGAGCTACATTGAAGATTGCCCCACTTCCCCCTCCCTACCAGAAGATTGCCCCACTCCCCCTCCCCCTCTTACTGTACCTCGTAATGCATGTCTACATTGAAGCTACATTGAAGATTGCCCCACTCCGAGCTACATTGAAGATTGCCCCACTTCCCCCTCCCTACCAGAAGATTGCCCCACTCCCCCTCCCCCTCTTACTGTACCTCGTAATGCATGTCTACATTGAAGCTACATTGAAGATTGCCCCACTCCGAGCTACATTGAAGATTGCCCCACTTCCCCCTCCCTACCAGAAGATTGCCCCACTCCCCCTCCCCCTCTTACTGTACCTCGTAATGCATGTCTACATTGAAGCTACATTGAAGATTGCCCCACTCCGAGCTACATTGAAGATTGCCCCACTTCCCCCTCCCTACCAGAAGATTGCCCCACTCCCCCTCCCCCTCTTACTGTACCTCGTAATGCATGTCTACATTGAAGCTACATTGAAGATTGCCCCACTCC